GTCCATTGTCATTAATTTTGGGCTGCAGTTTGTTAATTTTCACCCTTCCCTGTGCCTGCCTCCACCCCCCACCAGTACAAGGCAACATTTGCTGGGCTGCTAGAACTTTTTACAGAGTGCTCAGCCTGCTTCTTGCTCCCTTGTTGTCTATTTTATGTGATCAAATGACAGGACCTGAAACAAGGGAGAGAAGAAAACACCAGCAGTCATAAGAAACAATGAACCTAATTTTAGTAAGTGGTGCAGCAAGCTGTTAATGAGGAATCGCAAGTAATGACTGAATCTGCACCACTTAAAGTAACTGTAACATCCTGTCACTCTTCTAGTCTCCCTGATGTTTCTCCTTTTCTTTTGTGTGTTTACTAGCAGAATACTATCCTCCAAACATTGGGAAAAGCAGAGATAAATGGCCTTTCAGTCTGCCAAATGTTTCTTTCAAGATATGCATTAAATCTCTTGTGAAATGCACTAAGAATCAGATTTAGACTTTGATGTCTGTTTTAAACTCATAAACAAAGGAATGTCAAGTTTTAAAATGTTAACATCCATATCAGACACTGCCAACAGGAAACAGAAACTCTTTCTAATTCAACACATACAATTTCGAAAAGTGAAGAAAATGGGACAGTGTTACAGATTAAAGTCTGATACCTCAGGGAGTGCTGTTTTTAAACACTCAGAATTTTGACTTGCATGATCTAATCAGTGCAAAATTTGAGACATATCTGTTGAAGTTTATTTTTTTTAATCAGATACTGACAATGCACTATGGAGACAAGAGCTTTGATCTGATCATATATACCGAACACACACTTTGCAAGCCAGAAGAAAGCTCCACAGTTTAAATACTATCACTTTTCAATGTGGAATAAACTTCTACTTGCTCCTTTCTAGGAGCAAGATGGTATGTTTCATTGTCAAATTTCGAAAAGAAAAAGTGTGCAGTTTCTGCACTTCGGTTATCCCACAAACGTGCAAAACCCCAAAACAGTAGCTGTTGAGGAAAGTGTGGCATACTTGTATAATTCCATTTGATACAGTATGTGCCCTGAGACATTTACTGTAGGTCATGGAAACAAGCAGAGCTCTGGGAGCTGGTTTGTTTAGCTGTTCAGTAACTTCAATTTCATTGACCGGCCATTGTAAATTGCAAGCTGTCTTGCTTCACCTGTTGTCTTTATTTTGCACGGGTGCTGGCCTCCGAACACAGGACGCGTTTCCTTGTGAAATGCATCAGCAGCACCAAAATAACAGGCGTAGCAGGCTGGGAAGCCCTGCTCCCCACAGGCCATACAGTCCCTGTGGAAAAGGACTCTCTTCTTTACAGTAGGCCTTCTCATGAATATCCCTGCTGTAATGGACAAACAGCACCCCTTGCTCTTTCATGTAGGACAGTAATCCTTCAGAGAGCACAGCAGATGAAAGTGCAAAGAAAACAACACCAGATCCCCAGCCCTCTGTCACCCCTGAAGCCGTCCGGCAACAGCATGTTCAAAGAGTCAAGCAAACGGATCACTCCTCAACAGAGGCACTTTCACCCTTGTGGCACACTTCTAACAAGACCCTCCTGCGCCGTTCGCAGTCTGTCACTGTGTTTCTACAGCTAGGGGGACGAATATGGAGGGTTTCCTCATCCAGAGCTCTGGAAACTACAGATTCTCCTACCGGAAGAACCCAGGTTCTTCACTTGTGTAAATATCTCCGTCTTATAACAATGACATTTTCTTTCCTATTACTATTAGGTAAAAAAGAAAACATGCTTGTTTTTTTTTTATTCCACCCTTTTTCTAGAATGCATGTAGTAGGAAGCATTGAAGCATTGAAAGATATTTTCAGGAAGTAGACAGGCAGCATCATTAAATCCGAATCACGTCCTTAGTTTCTTAGTAAGACATTCCAAGCTTTTTTTCTCCCCCTGAAATATATGGATCAGTATGCAACAATAGCTCCAAAAATCACCCTGTAAACAAGATTTCCTGTTCTCCTTTTGACATTTTTGGGGTCCACATAGACCTCATAAAAAATATGTTAAGCGTGAGTTACGCGTTATACGTTAATATTTAAATACTACTGTATGTTGTTCCCTCATATCGTAATAACTTTAACAAGGACGAAATTTTTACAAATGAAATTGAGGTGAGGAAATGTAATGTAGACAAATACTGTACATCTGATTTATAATAATATTTGGCTATTAAAAACTGATGTGGCTTACTCCAAAAAAATAACTTTATATTTGGCCACGATTTAATGTATTGTATTTCAAGCTTTACGTTGGCCTTACCACAGGACAAATGTGACCTATCCTCGTCTTCACAAATAAATTCCCCCCAAAACTTGAAATATGCTTTTTTATTTAAAAAGGGCATTTCATAACGGCGGATTTACAACTTCTTAAATTATTCAAATTAAATGTGTAATTTCAGATAGTACAAAAAGTACGTATAAAAACTTAGACTTATCAATTATTCAGAAGACGTAAGAAAAAGGTACAAAAGGCTTACTGCTCACGGCGGCGGTTTCTAAAATACCATGCCAGTTATTCGTAAGTGGTATAAAATGAAAGTAATATAAAACTTGGAAAATGTATATATTTTGTGGTCTTAATTAAATAATCAATTCGTTTTTATAATTGCACGAATGAGCTTAAAATCGCTGACCACGAGTAATACGGTCTCTTTCGAGAATCTTACTTTGACAGTTTCTAACCTGTTAAGAATACCAGGAGCAGCATGATATTAGTGGCGAGATGTTACACACAAAGACTTCTCATGCATCTTGAGGCACAGTAAAGTGGAATTGTCGCATTTTCCGAAAATCCTTCTGCTCCCAAAATCACTTGTTTGCAAGGAGGAAAGTAAGACGTTCAGTGTAATTTGTCAACTTTGGCAAGTGAGATAATACCGACTGTCCATCCATTTTCTAACCGCTTAATTCAATTCAGGATCGCAGGGAAGCCGGGGACTATCCTAGCAAGCAAGGGGCGCAAGGCGAGGTACACCCTGGACGGGACACCAGTCCATCGCAGCGCAACACACAGACACAGACACATAAACGCACAAACTCACACCAGGGTCCGTTTTCCAAGAAACCAATTAACCAAGAAGTGTGTTTAGGGAACGCTGGAGAAAACTGGAGCATCCGGACAAACCCGACTATACTGTAAATTAAGGAGTAAAGATTCCACGCAAATGGCACCTCAAATCTCGAACTGCTCCCTGGGCCACCGCGCCGCTCCACCACCGATGGTATCGCTAGCAATCGGGGCTTGGTGTTGTGTCATATTCATAGTATGTATTGCCTCTAATACCATATTATTTTTAATATTTCTACTCAAGACTTTTAACTTGGTACAAGAGAGGCTCAGGATCAGTAATCTCACGGTGGTTATAGCCTAACGTACAAAGTACTTATGTGAATAAAGTAGAGTCAATGTAAAGATGGGCAGACGTTCTACAAAGGTGTGATAGAACGGATGATAAATTCTATTTGTCTAAGCCCGAAGTCTTTATTAAAATGTTGAAATGTGAATTCGAAACGAAAGCTCACCGAGACATTAGTGACACGAAATGAGCCGATTACGTAAATGCACCAACACGTTTCTTAACTAAAGATATGATCAGCACTGCCAAATCTCTTGAGAAATTCATAAGCAAATTGCATCGTTTACACCTCTTGCTATGAGGACCGTTTCGGAACTTAGAGAAGTCACTTAAAATGTGTAATTTTGTCTGGAAAATAGAAACAGATAACATAAGATTTTTTGGCAAGTGAAAAAAAAAACTTATAAAAAAATGACAGAAATAAAAGCACTTCTGGACTATTTGGTCCTCTAGTTTAAATTACTTGCTGTGTCTATCTTGAGAAGTCCCTTACGGTAACATTACTACAATTACTAAATCAGACATCATTCACATAAATTACGTGAAATACTAAGTAATTTATGTATGTATATATTCAACGATGATTTTAGTATACTGTATATGACATTATACAGTATGTAGATCATGAGTTTGATCTATATATACACATATATACCATTTTACCTAAAATAAGTTGTGCAACAAAGGCATACTGCATTGATATGCTCGTAAATCGGAGTAGAGATTAGAATAATTATTTTGCCACACACTTCTTTAGAATTTCCCCCTATATTGCTTTCCCTCATGCAAGAAACACCACTTCACTAAACAACATTGCACGGTTTAATTTGTACTATTACTCAGAACTTTGAAGCTGCATCAACATAGAACAGACTTCTCTCACAATCTAGGACAAATGACACTCAGTTACAAGTAGCTGACATTTCAAATTTAAATAAAACATTTTATACACTACTAAACAGCAGTTTCATATGAGTAATGACAGTAACAATGGGGTTGTTTTCATGCAACATTCCATTTATAAATTGAATATTCACAGGTTTTCAATATATTAAATGGAAGTTTACAGACAGATAGCTGAGGCTGTCTCCAACCAAGTAATTTTACTCTTTCAGAAATATTTAAAAATATTTAAAAATAAATAGTTGAGCAGGCAGAAAAGACTATTTGGCCTATCTAGCCTGTAGAGAAAGTGAAATTGTAGAGGTAGGAAATAATTGCATAGTGACTTGAAGCCTATCGTTTTACTCTACAAAATCTGTATGTAGTGCAGCAACTTTGGCAGATTTAAGAGTTCAGATATTATTTTTGAATATTTTTCTTGTTACGCACACTAGAGAGGTAAAGGGCACCATCAATAATTGTGTGCACTCATAAACATTTCATACTGTGGTTATTTATCAATAACATATCGGAACAGCAAACAATCTGCATTTATATCAAAAGCAGCATTAAAAGGTGTTTCTGCATGTGCAAAGGTGACAATCATAGCATAAACATATATTATACAATTATAAAATACATCCAATTGTTCTGTAAGCACAAAACGCATCTTGCAATAAATACAGTAAAACAAAATCAATGATCTACCCATCAAATTAAAACAAGTTTAAAATTAAAGGTAAATGTTAAAATGTTTTGCACTACATACAGTACATGCAGGGGCATCTATTTTACATTTTCAACGTTTAGATCCTTTTCTTTAGTTCCAAGGCCTATATCCCTCTGGATTGAGGACTGGGAGATTAGAGTTTCCTATGTAGGAGTAGGCTTCTCCTAGACTCCTTTGCTTTTTTGAGCAGTCTTTGGTTTGGGAGTACAAATCCTCCCCTTCCACAGTGCCATTTGTAGAAATTGAAGAATTCTTAAAATCTGAAGGGACAGCAGGTTCTAACAGTGGTCTACCTGCCAAGAGAAGAACAATAATAAAGTATTATCCTGTATTCAAAGATGAAGACGCATTCACTGAATGTGTTAATGTGTAGGAAAACATTAACACCTGAACAGAAGAGAATTTCCAGTTGTTCGATTTAACACCAGGCCACAATATGATAAACGTTGTTCAAGTTATTAGTACTAGCAGAACACTCAACACATTTAAACATATTAAAGGTTAATTTAAATTTTCCACCCGTACGGTACCTGTGTGGGTCTTCATGTGGTTCTGGAGCTCCGCCGCCTCCTGGAAACAAGTCCCACAAACCTCGCACGTGTTCGGTTTATCCTTGGCGTGTGTGCGCCTAACGTGACTGTCGTGGGCCGCGTGGGAGGCGAAGGCTTTCCCACAGTGTTTGCATTTGAAGGGTTTCTCGCCAGAATGCTGCCTGATGTGGGTGCGCAGGATGCTGGATGCCGTGAATGCCTACGAGACCCAGTGGAGACGCAGTTCAGACAGACGAACGCGACGTTGTTCTCGTTTCGAGTAAGGCGTCACGTTACAACACTGACCCGGGAAACTCGAAAGAATAAGTTCATTTTAAGATTTACGAAAGCCGACGTATCGAAACAGAATGACGTATATAACTTCAGCTACTGAAAAAAAATAGAATTCACTTATTTTCAATGCATAAAACTCAAGTAAATTATACATTTTTTCTATGCGTTCAATAAGACATACAGAACAGACACGTTTTAGGAGTGGTATATATATTATTATTAATTATAAAGGCTGCGAGGTAACGATTCTTTGTAATTGCATCCTAAGAATCATAGTTATTACAATACTGCCTTTTATTAATTAAGACAATTGGTAGGGCTAAACCTTTTGTTCCTTTGAAAGCCATAAATTCAGTTCATCTAATCATGGCTAACAATGAAAAGGGCTGTACATCTGGGCATTAATTAGCATGTAAGCCTTTCACCGGCGTGTGCCCGCTTTGACAAACACAATAAGCATTCTGCTGGTAAATGCACCGTGAAATGAGGTAAAACCTCGAATGAAGTTCGGTCCTCGAGCCTCGGAGAATGGAGTTACCTTATTGCAATAAACACATTTGTACGGCCGCTCCCCTGAGTGCACTCGCATGTGTTTATTCAGACTGGACGACTGAGAAAAACTCTTTCCGCACACCGAACACTGTAAGAGACAGACATATTCTTCACATAAACCTTCAAGCGGTATATCAAATCGGTCGTTTTTCACAATCGTCCGTGATGCGTTTCAGCCGATACGCCCTTTTAAAACATTGAAGAATAGAGAAGTATTTTAAATCCAATCATGTTCCGTCTGAAATTATGAATATGAAAAGTAAAACGTACAGATCAACGTTGAACGTTTTCTTATGTGATCTCATTAAGATATACACTTTAAAATAACTTGCATTGTACACAGGGAGCTGTCCTTTCAGCACCATATTGTGAATAAGTATAATTGACCATCTAAGAACATGTTATGAACAATGAACATACTACTAACTGTGGAAATACTCCCCGTGATATTGGCAGAACCGTGTCTTGTTTTCTTATTACACTCAAAAACGGTTTCGGGGTAAATATTTGAGCACGTTTGACCTGCTGTGTCGCTTAAACCTATGTAGGGTTCTTCAGATCTGTTTTACTTAAAATAATTCTGGTTTAACATATCTTTACAATTATATACGGTCGCGAGCAATTTGTGTATTTCTCTAGAAAGAGTGACTCTCCGTGGTCGAAAAGAGTAGGGGTGTTACCCCGGTGTCCTTTCTAAATTTCCTCTGGCCTTTACCAATCATGGCCTCCTAATAAACTGTGGGCTTCTCCTCCCCACTGAGAGCTGGTGTGTGGTGAGTGTACTGGTGCACTATGACTGCTTTTGCATCATCCAGGTGGGGCTGCACACTGGTGGCGGTGGAGGGGAGTCCCCATTCCCTGTAAAGCAACTCTGAGTGGAGTTTGCAGAAAAGCAGTATGCAAGTGTAAGGAATGTTATCATTTGTATTAAATACATTTAAAATTCTCACGTCTCCTGACTAAAATGATAAAAACACTACTTTAAACTACTCAAAACCCCATTCAGAGCCTTACTTTGTGAGGTCTGTGCTTCTCGTGGACGTGCAAAATGTGAATTCTGAGTCGATCTCTCTTCTCGAAGGATCTGCTGCAGAGATGACAAGGGAACTTCCTGTCCCCTTGATCCACACAGCGCGTGTACTTCAAATGCTTGTCTCTGTAATATTTGTAAGCGAACACTTTCCCGCACCGTTCACACTTGAAGCCTTCTCCAGATTCTGAAAAAGCATAAACACGAGCAAAATTAGGCAAAGGGCTTTAAAGGAAGGGGGCTCAAACACATTTTTCTTTTTCACAAATTCGATAGCGATTCAAAAGAAAATTGAAAAACATTGCTCCATCAATCTAAATAATTCTATGCCAGATTCCAAAGTATTCTGCAATACTCGTCTTTCTTGTATTTTTCTGTCTTTACACACACTCTTTTTTATAGATTGGGGCATCATTAAACAGTTAATTTACCTATAAATATCAGACATGAGACCCTGTACGCTGTATAAGACTGGGCTATGTAGACAATCGAAAGTATAACCGGATCGTGTTCAGTGCTGACCTTCACTCTGGGGATGGGTGTTCTTTTCCACTACCGTCTCCTTCAGCGTGAGGGGAATTCCCAGAAACTGCAGGTAACAATCTCCGTACCAGACCAGTAACTCCTGCCTGGGTCGGATTTCCTTACACGTCTCGTAAAATATCTGCCCTTGGCTCTGGACAGCCACGAGATTCTGCTCCTCCGGAAACCTGGCGCACTTCACCAGAGACATCCAGTTACCGGACGATCCCCTTCCATCCACAAAATGACTCAGCTGGCCGTTCTCGAAAACCTGGAATCAGACATTTTTACGTTTTAGATATTGAAATGAATTTGTTGTAAAACGGACCTACAAAAATGAGCAATAATTCGTTTCCCTCATTTTGTCCTGTCCCGTTTTCTAGTTTCTAAGGAAAATACCGGCCTGTTTTTCAAGGAATATTCCCACACTACTCGGACAAACCAGAAAACCAACGAAACAATTAATTGCCTGTCTCAATCTTACAATACATTCGTAACATTGATAAGTTTGCTTTCTCATTTCATGCGTTTTGTTCATTTTTTGTCTACGCCTACAGGATATATGAAAACGTATAACTAAATCCTATTGCAGTTTTTTCGTATTACAGTTTTTTAACGAAGTGTACAATATTTGTGTTGATATATGTAAACTGAATTAAACCAATAAAGATAACTTTTTAAAATTCATGCTTACTTCCCACATAAGCGTGTTGTCGTCGTAGGTTTTGATCTCACTGGTGTTTACGACTTTGCCCTGGAAAGGTCCGAATCTGGTTTCCTTCGGAATTAAAGTTTTGGCGAAAACGCCGGAATGAGTAACTCCCCCGTATTTCGTCTGGAGAACAGACAGCCCTGCGTGTGGAAACAGGAGAAATCACAAGTTTTGGGCCGGTCAACTTTCCCAAGGTTTTAGCCTTCCGGCCTTGTTCCTTTTTTTACCAGAAAAATAAAACTTACCTTCTGGTAGCACAAGGGACTCGTTATCTAGAAGATGAAACTGAGAATCAGGAGCTATAAGGAAATACATACATTAGTTATACCGAGTTTTGTACCCTTTTTTAACTTTTGCTATTCTTATCTTAAATTCCAATCTTCAAACGTTAGTATTTAGTCCTGAACTGCTTATTTTTTGTGTCTAAGACTATTCTCCACTGGATCTTTTCTGACATACTCAACTATAACAGCCATTTAACCTACTTATTTAGTTTTTTATCTGTCCCCCCTCTGCCAAGTATGGGTCGGAACAAAACCGCAAAACAAATTCAGTGTTAACAACGGTGTTCACTTCACCTGTATTTTCAGGGAAAACCAGTCCGGATATTGCGTGGCCAGTACTCTGCTCCCTGGCCAGTTGAGTGTAACCGTAGAGAACAGTGTACAGGTCCTCTTCACTGAAACTGAAAGTGCGCGCTTTGTCAACCAGGGGACCCGAGTTGTGAAGGCCGAGAAAAACGTCTTTCCCCGGGGAAGACGACGACGAGAGAGCGGATTTCTCGCTTTGGGGGCTGCTGAAATCCGACAGGGATCCTGGGAGCTTCTCGGGCGCCCTGGCTGGCGTCTCCTCGTGTTTGGAGTAGAACGCGCTGGGGACAGGGGGCTGCGGTTTGTTGAGGAGCGGTAACCCGGACGGCAGCAAGCTGAAGAACTGTTCGTGCAGGGCTGCTGCTTGGTGAGGATGGGGATTGTTTAGGAAAGTCGGAACCCCGTTAAAGTTGAAAGGCATGACTGCTTGCGTGTCCGTGACCAGGCGTCCAAGAGACTTCAGAGGGTGGACAACACTCCGTGCGCTCCTGAAGACGTCCATGTATTGAGAGCTGGGGAACACATTGGGGTAGTAACCGGATATTCTACCAGGACTGTTAAGAGTCTCTAAGTGATAACTCTTGTCCTTCACTGTAGAAATGCTTGACAGAGACAACGACATGGCAGCAGCGGGTAACAAAAAGATCCAGGAGAGGGAAGGTATCCTAAAAACAAGACAAAAAGCATTTTAGCATTGTTATAACGATATTAAACAGTTTTCTTAACAGCCATCCATAAATTCACTCTTTTTGTAGTTTGTTAATTATTATTAAACGTTTAAAAGTGTCAGGTTAGCGTTCAGCACATTTGTACTGGTGTTACAACAGCAAAATAAGAATACACACAATTGTTGAGTGAAACATTGAATATAAGCTAGATTGGTTTTGCAAAGTCGAAATATTTTTGCACGCAAAACGAAACAACATTTTGATATGTTTAAAATATCAATTTTATTATATGGGTTATATATGGCTTGCATAGCTTTAAATGTGATTGTAATTAAAAAATGTTCCTAAATGGTGGAATTTTGTCGTGTCTTATTTACCTTACCAGAAGATTTGTAGTTGATAATTTTTGTTTGCCGAGCAGTGATAAAGTGTTACAAGAAATACCTACAAACTACAACATGTCACCAAATAGACTGCGTATACGGGCTATTCTGCCTGCAACGCGCTTTTGAGACCTGTTTTAAACAAAATTTATACACGATATAAATACACATATTAAATAAAAGGCACACTTAGTCAGGCAGCTGGGAAGACGGACAATTAGACGTGAAACAAATAACGACAAGACCACGAAATTGTTAGATTGTTATACAAACGTGCGAATCTGCGCACCTTGGAAGTTTTAAAGCAAGAGAAAATTGATCTCCGATATTGATTCCAATCAAGAAACATAACTGTCGGGGGAAAACCATCTTAATTCGTTTATTACTACGGAAACAAACACCTATTTGCGCTTCTGGCATCTTCGGGCTGTGGAGTACAGTTCGCGCGGATTCCTTGCAATTCAAAAGTCTTAATTTTCCAAAAGCATTTGCAAACTGAAATCTATGCTGCGACCAAGGTGTGAAAAATCAGAGGCTAAACTTCGCAGTGATCTTAACAATCCGTTTCGTCCTGAGAGGGGGGGGGGGCATTTTAGAATGGGGGCAATTAAAGCACTCGAAAAAATAGCCTCCAGTTATATGGATGGATTCGTGAAGGGTTCAGACAAAAGACACATAACCCCCTCTGCCAAGCAAACCACAAGCAACATTCATAAGCACGACAGTCTTCACTCTCAGCTCAGCTGGGTGTTGAGACAAAACAAATAACAATTGCAGGAATTTTTCTACAACTGTTTTCCAAACAATTTACAGGAGCTTCAAAACCTACTGGAAAACAGTAGCGAATCGAAGAGCGACAAACACAAATATCCATTCTAGGAGCATTCGTTTGACTAGGGCATTAAGCACCAACAAGTCATTTAAAAACTACCCCAAAAACCTTAGAGTTACATACTTTAGCGAATGTAGAATCATTATCTTTTGATTTAAACTTTAAATGTGTATCAACTAGATGTTTTTTGTCTGCCCTTCTGTTGACGCGAGTAGACTCGAATTTATCTACAGTACATTGTGGTTTACACTGTGATACAAACTTCTTTACTCAATGGTTATGGTCTGCAAGAGCGTGAGCCCAAAGCGACCTTTAATTCATCTTGATGTTTAATAATTTGAATATTATGTTCTAGATCAATAACAGCCAATAACTGAAACAAACCAGGGTCGTGACACCTAAATTAAAGAACACCGGGTCAACGGGAAAGGTCAGCAATAATGAAGCCATCAGAACTCCTTCGGAAAGCATTAAGTAAACACATGGAACCCGCTGAGTTAAATAGCTTCTGACATAAAATTGATTTTAAAAGCCCCCGAACTTACACAAAAAAGTCATATTTCTTATTTAAAGAGTTCAGCGCTAAGTGCGAAAAGAGAACATTACCTAGCACAAATACATTTTAGAAAGACAAGAGAAAACATGCGGCGCTTACCTTAAAGATATGATCTCTTTGCTTTAAAAGTTTGAAGTTAACTCCAGTACTCCACCGTATTCTGCTTCTTTTTCGGTAGCCTCAGGCTTAGTTAATTTCTTTGAATCAAAGAATGAATAAGCGCTCCTGCGTGGCCTGTCGAGCTGGGAGAGGGCAGACACAGCGCTCTTCTGTCAGTGTCTGCGTGCGTCATGCTCCGGTTAAGACTGAGGGCAGATGGTGTTAAAGAGTGGACTGTAGAGAGACAGGACCAGAGAAGATGCCTTTCTCCTTCTCTTCACCGCCATTGGTCAGAAATCAGCTCATCCTGATCATCTCTTGGCGCCCCAGGGGACAGCACTTTAACACGTTATCATTACTAACCCCAGTTTCCACTGCTCCCACGGCTTTATACAGTATTTACAAGACTCCACTCACGTTAGCGATTTTATCCCCTGAACAGATCGCCGAGCTCCGACGCCTGGTCCGGGATCAGCTGCTGTTGGTGTGCTTTGCCAACAAGCGTTGATAACGTTCAGACAGGATTGCACTTTAATACACTTCGGGTTTTAAACCATTTAGGTCATCACCTGCTGATGATTATGATGACAGCACTACCCGTACACTCGTAAAAATGTTGATCTTAGCGTTTACCACAATCTACGAAATGTGTATTCCTCCGACTGTTCGCTAATCACAATCTTTCCCCTTAATGTGATTAATCCAAATGTAAACAAAAAGCCATATAATCCTAGCTTCTGACATAAATACACTAAAATATCGACAAATTCAAATTGTTTTTACGCAGTCAGCACTTAATGTAGGGATCACTTTAAACATAACGGATTTTAAGGCCAGACATTTAGCTAAGAGAAAAGACAACACGTTGGCGACATTCTTCATCTTATTCTTAAAACAGTTGAAGTCTGACGAATCTCGATAGTTCTTTAGTAAGCCTGTCCTCAGTAGGGTCTTATCCCAATCGCATACCCTGCACCTCACTGAAGGTGAATTCATCGATTGCTTTTTAATACTCCAGTAACACTAACAGAAATAAAGACAAATAAACACTGCAGACGCAGCTAAAGGTGAATTGACCCATTTCTGAGAAATGAGATTCAAGAGTCTTATGTTATTGAAATATAGAAAACGTTATGTAGCGGTTTGTTGTGTAGCCTTGCGTTTTCATAACGTCTCATGACACTAATCGCAATACCCCTCGGCGACTGGATTAAACTTAAGTTAACGATTTCAAACCAGCCTTGGAAACTACAGCACGAAGTTTTCACACCAAATTTCTAACTAGCGCTGCTCATACAACGGATTGGTGTTTTTCCTCACCAAATGTAATTACCTGGACACAATCCTGTGGGTTACGTTTAATGTGCGAGTGGTTTCGAGCAGTTTAAAATAAAGAAACGTGACTTAAAAAAAAAAAAGATTTTTGTCTGTGTAGCGGGGGACTCGCGATGGTTTAAACAATTCAAGGTAAGCGTAACAATGCGCAGTGAAAAATTTAAAAGGAAATACCCTCTATCCAAAAGACATGTTCGCGAAATTCACATCTTCTAAAAGACGGGTATGCATCACATGTGGCGCATTTATACAGCCTAGTCCTCAAACATTACCTGTATAAATAATTAAACTGCCTGGCGATTGATTGCAGCGGTTTCTTGAATCGGTGATTCGTAAATAAACGCACAGCCCGTTCTTCATCAGTGCTTAATTATTGATCGCACCATTATGAAGATATTGATGTATTTGTTCTTATTGCTAGGAAAGTTAGTTTAGATATTTAGTTCCGCAAAACCAAAACAGTACTTACAGAAAAGGAACACAATACAATTATTTTATCCCCTGCGCCTTTTAATTGGGTAGATGTTGACTGATTATTGAAACATTTTCATTAAAAATGTTTTCAGTTTTTTCAGACGCAACCCTTTTTACGCCTCTTCAGGAAAATTCACCCTTTTTCACCCAAACCGATTTCGGCACATGAAGACAACCAACATCCGCAATATCTAAAGTCGATATGATTACTTTCAGTATTAGTGTGTAGTTAAAATCCATAAATAGCAATAAGTCGTGACAATTGTAACCATGCTGATAAGTCTTTATAATTTTTATCCAAGTACAACATGAACGTGAAAACAAAATTCGTCTCCGACTGACCACCGAAAGGACATTTCAATGTTAAAACATTTAACAGTCGCAGAATATTTCATTTAGCGTTTATGACTACATAATCCCATCAGCAGTCTATAAAGGGCTGAGTTGCAGGATTTGATTCAATTGCCTTGCCTAAAAGAAAAATGTTTATGTACTTACTAGGATCAGAAACGAACTCTTAAACTGGACTGTTTTTTACGAGTTGAATAGTCGAATTGAGAAACGATCTTCTCAATCGGACAAATTCTCACCGTTCAAGAAGCGCTAGAAAGCTAACGCTGAAGACGATGCATGACGTCACTGACATTAGCAACAAGTCATTCTTAAACCGTTTTAAAACGTCTCGGGCAAAAATATTATAGATATGTGAGTAATTTCGTAACATACCAGAGTAAAGAATAGCCTATACATTTTTATTCGATATGGATAGGTTTTCATAGGTTGGCATAGCTTTTCAGTGGGTTTAGAGTAACAACCGCTAAATTGGACAACGAACCGATTTGGGCAACTTAAACTGTGGTGTGAAAGAACATATTCCTACCCATTCACAAATTATTGTTATTATCGCCACCAACACTATTTATAGTATTACATATTTAAAAAAAATAATTACAAATGTGTTGGAAAAACTCACGGCTAAACTTCCTATCGGGAATGAGACAAGATAAATTGCAAGGTATGTTAAGGCAAAACGAAAATATCACGCAGCCATCTAAAGTGAAGAGATCTTCACTCTTAAATTTGACATCCACACCGTGGACCAGTTCATTTCACGGATTAGGATGGAAGCAATTCGCCGAACGCTTTCTTTTTCGCAAAGTGACAGTCTTCACTTCATGCAAGCAGCTTTTTGAAGGCTGAAATTACACCACCGAGCACGACGCGTTTCAGAGGACGACGCGTCTCAAGTCAGAAGTATTCAGAACCGGGGCTCCGGAAATCCGACATCCGAAGCGAGGAGTCGCTTCGTGGCGCTGCCTTATAACAATTCCCGCTGCAAGTCAGCCTTCGGAAGAGCTGTGAACGGTGAATGACGGAACAGGCAGAAGACGTACTGGAAGATGGATGAGCTCCTGAATAAACACACACACGACAGTACTCCGAAAGGGCTAGCAGCCACCCCCAGAAAGGTTTCAGTGGAGAAGCGCGCCACGCATTAATTAACACTGCAACATTGCAGGCCGTGACTAGGGGCGCCTTCAGAAGTGAAGGCTTCATTATTTGAAATATACAGAGCGTTGTGTGTCACTTGTTTTATGCCATCTGTGTATAAAGGTGAATAGGGGCTAAAACACTGTGAAAGAATGCTACCAATTATTTATCCACGTTAAGATTTACCTACCGTGCAAACGAGAAGCCCAGTTTCCCTTGTGTTCTACAGATACACACGGTAAAATACGTTTTTTTTCCCCTACTGATACGGGTAATCAATCCCAAATCATGTCTAATTAATGGGTGATGTTTTATGCAGATATCTTAAAATTAAATATTAGAAGATAATTACCTGAAGACGTACATTAAAAAAACTGAATCGTTTAAGAACATCAGAAATGTTTTAATCAAAGGGGATCGTCGTTTAAATTTATAGTAGTTCCGTCTCATTCACTCATAACACTTAAACAAGAGTTGCGAATAATCTCCAAATAAACCAATATATTATTTCGGAACATCATTTGGTTTGATCACAAAAACAAATTGAAAAGAAGATGTCAGATCTAACAGCCATTATCATATGAGGGAAATAACCGGACACGTCGAAGTTTAAAAATGCTGATGGAAACCCATAACTAAAGTTCGGGAAGGATAACAGCAGCCAAGTTGAATTGGCCTCAGATGTCTTAAATCATAATCATTCCGACGTCATTTCATCTTCCACCTGAGCAGAAAGGAGATCCCACCCTCCTCGTCCCAGAGCCACGAAACTGGCTCTCAGCTAAGGGGGTTAAGCCGAATTTACTACGACAGAAACACTTCAAAGATTTTCAATACACTTAAATTCTTCGAAGTTGTTATTTCCAGTGAATTTACATTTAATAAAAAAATGCAGTTTACATACAAGCAAGAACAATTTTCAATGTGATTTGTGGCTTTGTATGTAGGGACGTGGTAATCGCACTGCCTCAAGTCAACTGACGGTGTTCAGTTTGAGCAAGTCTTGATCATATTAGTACAAATCGACAGCTGTAAAGAGTTTAGCTCAGATTTCACGTGAAGGAAAAAGTGAAGTATTTTCACTTTTAAAGTCGTACCCTACAATTCACAAAAGGCATAACTGGTCTCTTGGATCAGTCAGAATTGGATTTTCCTGCGAATCTAGAATTGAAATCCTTGTGTGAAAATAATTTGGTGTGTGGGCAGCAGTAAAATAACACTGTCATAGACTGACAATATAGTTGAACAGCCATTAGTTCCAGGAAAACTGAATCACCAAAGCCATGGGATGAAATAATTCTCTAACAACGTAGTGTCTATCACTGATTAGAAAACAAAGCAAGAAAAATAATTATTGTTTCCCCCTTAGGGCAGCAGAAAAGACAAAACAACCCTGGGTCCTTGAGAGCTGCAGTAAAGCCTCTTTAAATCACCACTTTACACCTTTGGGAAAGCATGGACTTTTCATCATAATGAGCTCTACTAACTTGCAAAGTGGTGCTGAGAATCCCAGCTCTAGGATCTGCAGGCAGAGTGCAGGTGTCAGTACAGCATATTTCATTTGTAAACTGGGCAGGCTGACGATGGCTTAATTGAGGCAGATCGCAGAAGTACTGTCATAATATTCCCATATTAAACTCCATGTTCACTAGCCAAGACTCATTTCTGTTGCCTTTATTTTAAAAAGAGGAACAAATGTTAAAATTAACTTCTCAGAGGTACCTCACCGCCAAATCATCAAACAAAATCACTTCCTAAATTGTGGACTATAAGCACAGCTCTCGACAGATGTATATCAGAACAAAATTATACGTCGAAACTGTGTGATATTCCAGATATTCCACAAGTCAAGTGGATTGTCTAAGACACTGATGAGGAACTGTGTTCTGTATGGAGATTTTAATAAGCCATCATGTGAAAAAAAAAAAGTCTATATTCAAGAGAATATTGTGAAGTGATTTCACAGCAATGACCATGCACACAACACGAAGTGTTACTGTGCATAAAAAAATCTGTAGTTATTTTACAGCAAGTAGTGTGAAGTGCCCTGTGTACATACAGCATACAGGCACACTTCAATCAGGAAGTATTTTTATGTTTGTGTCCTGAACTCTTGGTGATGGTGTGAAAAAACACAGAAAAGGCAGAAGATTCAGATCTGTATCCCGTCATTCATACACACATTCTAAAGCCCAGAATCTCCAGGCCCATGTGGAACATACAGTCCGTACCTTTTATTAAATGTTGCAATAACAGAATTCTTTATTTACAATGGCATTATTTAACATCAAATAGCAAAGCAATATTAGTCAACAACTTGCATAAATGTGTTTAAATTTCTCTCCGTATATCTAACTTTGCATAAAATGCTCACACTAAGGTTACAAACATCAATGCGGGTGCAGAAGGTGATGTTTAGTGTGAACACATCTGGAAAAATAACATCTCTGAGCCTGCAACACTGTAAGCTTTCTCCAGAAAAACCATATATTTTACATATTGCTTAGATTTACCCTTGCATCATCTTTTCATACAGAATTCACAGACAGTAAATGAGAAACAATTGTACAAATAATATAATCCACAACTGATCACAAATAACACATGAAAAATTAACAGTAATAAGGAGGTGAATAGGGCAAAAAGAGTGCTGTAGTCTGTATCCAGCAACAAAGACATATTGAGTGATGCTGCACTCATTCAGTATTGTACACAATTCACTATACAAATATAATACAACAGACAAGGTTGTAGTAGTAATATACAAGACATAAAACCAGATCTAAGGCATTTTGCTAGGTTTTAGCATTTCGAGGTTTTTGCATTTAGCTTTTTTACCAGTTCTAAGAAATTGGCAGACTATACAAAACAAAGTTCAAAAATTCCAAAATTAAAACAAAGGTAGAGAGACAAAAGTCTGTAAGTTGAATCAAAGTCTGTATGATATTTTCATCTTTATTTTAAATGCAAACATTTTCTCTGATCCTAGTCACAACTGCCCAGATACAAATACTATAAAAAGGTTGCTAAACCACACCAACACTTCATGGCTTATGTTCTTAAAACTGACAATGTAATCTTTGGATTCTGCAAAGGGAGCTTTACACTCGGTTCATCTGCTAAAACTGGCTATCCTAAAATTTGATACTTTCAGTTGCTTAATTTTAAACACTACGTGTAGTAAAAGATGGTAAACACGACAAACCAATGTCCAGAAAACAGTTATGTTGAGATAATGTGTTACAGATGGCAGGAATCTATATATTGGTGAATTGTCTTCAGATTTCATAGTACACTGAGAGGAACTATATGTATAGCTGCAGTTCTTCGGGTGCTCTCAAGACAGCTAAAGGAGCCCAAATGAACTAGGGCCACAGTTTCTAAATGAACGTTGGAGGTAAATCTAGATTTAAAGCCATACACCATTAACGAAAGCTGCATTGCTATGAAAAGAAGAAGAAATTTACATCTTTTAATAAGGAATGGCTAAGCCTATGACAACAAAACTGGTCACCACTGGCATATTCTAAGACTACAATCACATAGTGTTTGTAGTATTATGGAAAAGTTACACAGGTGAACACGCATAAGTCGTTTTCAGTTGTGACAAATGCATTTAGCATAACCTAGACAAAATATGCGTTACATGTAATACAGATTTTATAATACTAATGCATGGTAAATTCATTTTTAAAGGCAAATGCAAGTTTTATATTAATAATTGTACACTGGCTAAAGGCAAACATGCTTCAAAAGTAATACTACCAAAGAATGTTTTCCATTATGAATTCATTGGGTATTTTTTCAGTTTAACATTTAATTTCTACTCTCCAAACAAGCAATACATTTAAAAAGCAAATCTAATTTGTGTAGCAAAGACAGCAAAAGAAAATGTTTTTTTTTATTTCTTCCGCAAAACAGGATACCTTTTCAAAAGGTATAAAAACCGTCCACGTATGGATAGATCAGAATGCACATTTAAAACAAGTCTCAGGTAAAAAGTTTAACCTGTGTTCTGTTTGCTAATGTGTAACGGGAGGTTGGACTGTCTCTCATTAGAAAAGCTGTGCAGAAGGACAAAGCATGCAACCCTGCCCACATCAGAACACCTTCGTCAAAACCTTTAACCTCTTGATTTTGCTTAGTAAAAATGGCTGTAACACAGAGGTGAAAAACTAAAATGGCCACACAGCTTAAATATAACCTGCAATATGATTTCCATTAGGATTTTTATCATGAGAGAATATGAAACCACTGAGAGTTCAGTTTATCCAGCCCATAAAACCTGTCTCATGAAATGAAATCAGGGTGGGTTTTGGTAGGAAAATGAATGGCACTCTGATGATTGAATCATTTTTGAGGGCACGATATATGCGTGTTTACCTGTAATTTTGTAATGTCTGTCCAAGATCATGTGGACTTTATTCCATCACTTTTTTGTAGAAATAAAATTAAAACTGCTCTTTGAAGTTGCTTCATATAAACTGGGTAATGACCTTGCACAATTATTTGAAAGATAAAAGCATTATTTTAATCTTTACTACATTCTATGCAGGTTTAGTTGTATTGGCTACGAAAAGTAATGGGCTAAATACAGTAACTTTAAATTAAGAGATAAAGAAAACCAACTAATTCCTAGTGTCTTTCATTAAACCATCTGATTCCTAACATGGGTCAGCATTCAACACAAGTTAATACCTCCAGAAATAAAAACAAAATTTTGGCTTTTTAATTTGTGGCAGGCTCATTCAAATACTATTAAAAATGTGTGGTAAAATTTCATTGCAACAAGCTTGCCAATTCTGCACTATTTACTTGAAAACACCTCTAAAAACATACTAAAAAATTAAAATATATTAAGAAATCTACAGAAAAATGAAACAGAAAAATATATATGTAGGTTTATTCTACCCACACTATTCACATTGCAATTTAACTAAAAAAAAAAAAACAGTCTCTCTAGGCATCTCAAGACAGCTTGACAGCACTAGACTTGCTTATATAAAAAATGTTAGGGAGTCAATCTGCCAGTGGATTAAGGATTTTACACTGCCTGATTTCAGGAAAATTAAAACACCAAATTAACCACTCACACCTAGTTTTCTACCGAAGGAAATGCTATACATAATTACTAAGGAACATCTTTTGACGTCTTCTGACACACAACAGCAATAAAAAAGGTGGCTATGCTTAATACTGTAGTACCTTAGTTTCGGAATCAACCGTTAGGACAAATCTGCCTCCAGAAAACTGTACAAAATTGTAAAACAAAAGATCCTCAAGTAATAGTTATTGCTCGATTACATAACCCAGAACAGTAAAGTCTGTATCTAGCAGCTCTTGACTTGCACTCCACTCCAAATGACAAAAAGCACACGGTAATATTGAATTATTATGGCTGTTTTTTGTTTTTCCTTCTGTGGTATCTAGGCTAAAAGCTGAAAGCAAGCGATAATCTGTACATTGTATACCCCCCTCCAGTAATGTATTTTTAATATACCTGACCCCCTACCAGAACTGTCTGATCTCCCCATGTGAGTGCTGCCATCTCCCATATGAACAAGACACTCCATTGTTACTTTAGAAGCAGTTATTAAGACCAGCCTGAAACTGATTTTAAAAAATGTATATACAATCTAGCAATACTTTTAAGATTATAATCACAAGAGATGATAAATTTGAAGAGTCTGTTGTTTTTGAAAATATGGGACCAACCAATCCATACGTCCAACAGAAAAAACATTTTGGGGTCAAAATACAATAACAGCCTTTTAACACACTTTTGCCAGTTTAGAAAGTGTCATTACCTTATTTAACTGTAATAGTTTTATTGTCTACACGGTTAGAAAAAAAAGAAAATAAATCTATACATAACAGTTAAACTTAATTTTATACACTATCAACCTCTTAGACTATATTAGTCTGAATTTATAATACAAACTGTTCTAACAATTTTACAAAATTGTATATGCTCTTCAAACCATTCATAATTTTTTTTGCTCACAATTAATTTAGAAACCATTAAACTTTATTCCATGTCTTATTTGCACACACACACACGCAAAAAAAAACAGAAACAGGAACAAAAGCCCCCCCAAACATCTGAAATTTAGAAAAACCGTCCAGAATCCAAAAGTAGTTGAGGAGTCCTCACACCCAGTTTGGAACAAAACAAAAATGACAGAGAGCCAGGAAGAGATAGAGAGAGAGAGGAGCAAACAGTGTACATCGTAGAAGAGATCAAGAGTGTGGTCACCGCCCCCACGAGGAAATACATTCATCTGACAAGTATTCCGGTGCCATTCAGTTAGCCAATCAGGGGAGACCTAAGTCACACTACGGTGAATGCGATGAACAGACTGACTGGCTTTCAGAAGGTTTACTTGAGACTGCGAGCAGAGCAAAGACTCGGGTTGCCCTTTTCGAGAAGTGTTCCGACAGGTAACGACGTCCCCCCCATTCTCCTTCCTCAGAGAAGAACACTTTAAGGTTTTGGACGCTGCCCCACCCCCCACCCCCCCACCCCGCGGGCAGGGCGGCGGCGGCGGCAGGGCTGGGCTGGTCAGCAGATGGCGTAGCTGGGTGGCGCGATGGCCGGCCAACACGTGAGACGCACGCTGGCCGTTCGCAGTGCACTGCCAGGTAACGTTCTGAGGTCCCGCCAGCGACGAGGGTCAACAATACTTCTGCAAACATACAAAAGAGTTCACTTGTATACTTGTGCATTGATGACATTAACCTGTATTATCAACAGGAAATCAATCGGAATGACAGTAAGAAAATGGCGACAATAGAATCGAAGGTCAGTGTTTCAACCTTCCCACCTTTTCAACTACACATAAACAGCTGTCAATATTGGAACAGAAGACATCTGGATATTAACTGATTTCTACAACAAAGTTTTTGTTTGTATTGGTTACTAAGGGGCTTTAAGCAAAGTTATAAATTATTTATTCTTTTTCAGGGATTATGAGACACAGAAAAACTGAGCAGACAGCCACCTACACTTATATATACACACAGACTGCACAGAACTGCGTGTCTCTTTCTCCCTATATATACATAGAGAACTGTCACATTAAATGAGATTTCAGTAACATGGCACTATTGTCCATGTCTCCCCATAGCAGTTATGGAGTGGTATAAATATCAGCCCACGTGAGCACCTACAGCAGGCCCTGAAGCACACAGCTATGCCACAAGACACAGATGGATTTTACACCTGATGTTGTCTCTCACAATATAAAGACAGGCCATTTTAATAAGACAGGGATCTGTTGGAAGATTAGATTTGAAAAGACAGGCAGAATCTAATCTAATCTAAGATTAGATTGGAATAAATGTTCAGGATATAATGTTCCCAAGGAATGTTATGACCCACAGAACAAAAGAAACAGCAACAATTTAGGCATGTTTAATATCTCCTGTCCTGTGCTCGTAAACAGTAAAGTGTTCAAAAGCCCAGCTCACAGACAGATAATGTTTGTGTAAACCCAACATTTAAAACAATTATACCCCAGTGAGGTGAAGCAAAATATCTTAAAAATAGAATGGCTTGGGAATTCCTAACTCTGCGATAATATAAATTCGTTGTAGCTGCACTAATGGCTAGGCACTAAATTATTTACTTCAGCCCTTTACATTTGGGCTCCTGCAGTATAAATCAAGCGACATAAATTTCCAAAGCTTATAAGAAAACTAGTCGAGTTCACATTCAAAATGTTGTACTGCTGTTAAATATTCATACAATTTAATGAGGCTTAAAAGCTTCAATAACAACATTATTTAGATTTCAAATGCTTGCTACAGCCCAGAGAAGAAACAAATAAAGGTTGGATAGCATGAAACTTTCCCAAAAAGATTCTGCCCAACAAAAATGTTTTTTTTCCCACAGTCCATAAAGTTACACAATTAAAAAAAAAACATCTGAGACGATTCAGCCAAATTCGATTTAATATGGCCATTTTCCACTAGGTGGCGATGCAGACAGTCTGCAGCTCTTCAAAACATTGTACTTTTAAACACTCTTCTGGCTAATCAAACCATAGCAAAATATTTGGAAGCAAGGTGCAACTCCTTTTATTCATGCCAAATTCGTACCGATGTGTGGCTTACAGGAGAAAATGATTAGAACAGTGTTTAATACAACAGCACTTGTGAATTATTAACCCCTTGGGAAGCGAGATAGATTTTTAAGCCATCCCTTTTGAATTGCCTTTGAAAATGATAGCACTCATACTGCTTGCAGAGTGTGACGCAAAATGTAGGGGGAAAAATCAATAGATAAAACATAGCATAAACACATAAGCAATCTGAGCCTTTGTTTATGTCTGCTGTACAGCACTTGATGTCATGTCTTGAAGTCTACAAGGACTTGTCCTTTAAAATATTGTCTGCATGAGAACAAATCAGTCTTGCACTAAGTGCACAGTACTAATTACACCACCATCTTAAGGGGTTGTGTTAAGTCAGTCTAGCACCATAACTCTTGGTCGCAGAATTACATAAGGTAATTATGTTAAATTATTCACAACCTTGCTGTGCACCAAACGGCTCAATTAAGAATGAGCAGACACTTAGAAGGCCTTCAACTTGTAATGGGTTACGTGGAAAAAAAATGCATCACATAAATCAGTACAGAGAAAGCTGTCGTCCACTCTAGTTCACTTGTTTTGAAAAATACCATAAGATTGAGAAAGGAAAAGTTTTGATTTGTCCTAAGGCGGAGACTTCGATCTTTGGTCAACTCTTCAACGACTATATAAAAAGTGAAGACTGCAAGGCTCATATTTAATTAACATTTGTAATATAGCTGTTTTCTGCAGACAAGAGTGAGGAAAAGAGAACCTGAGATACACTTAGCTGTGGATGTACTTACTCGTGTTGCCTCACCCTCCTGTTTAATCATATCCATGCCAGGCAACTGGTTAGGAAAGAGGTTTCCTCTCATGGTAGGATCATTCACCTGTGAGAAGAGAAAGATCTGAGAAAGTTTCTAAAGCCCTGCCCCGTTTCGCCCGTTATTTTTTAAGCCTGGCGCTCCCTCTATTCGTCACTCAGCATTGGGAGATGGCAGCCGGAAGCCCGCCTACCAGCGGGTCCAGGAGAGACCCGATGGCATAGGCTTCATCATGGTGTCCTGACCGTCCGAGTCCAGGGCTCGGAGTGCCTGGCCCCGTTATCTTGTTTTAACTCCCTGTTCCTGTTCCGGATCCCGTTCTGGATTTTAACTTCTTGGATGGTTCACCCGGTACCTGGACCCTGAACTGCGCCCCGGATTCCCCCTTTGGGCTGTTTGGACTTGTTTGCCTGGGCTGCACCACGCCCCCTGGATCACCATCGTCGCACCCCCCTGTCCATCATCCCCTCCTGATCCTCTACGTCTCTTCCCTGTTGTCCTTCTCCACTTACGTCCGGATTATACCGTCTGCATAGGGTCCTGAACTACGCTTCACGAGAGCCTGGGCCGGCTCCCGTTACACATGTGCAGTGAACAAGGACTTCCCAGGGTGGAAAAAGCTCGGGAAAGGCTGTGGTACTTACCTGCTCGGGACCCATGGAGGATAGCCCCGATGTAGGCACCGAGGTCATTGAGGTCATGCTGATCTGCCCTGACATCTGATTCATGTTGTTCATGCTGGAGTTCGTTGTCATTGACACATTGATGTTCATATTGTTATTGTACATGCTGGCATTTGACTGCTGCCCAAATTGAGGTGACGACTGCTGTGTGAACACGCTATCCAAAGATAAAAAAAAACGAAACCATTTAAATTGCCTACAGGAACAGACCGAGAAGACTTTCATAACAAAATCCACAGCATATGTGTCATTCAAATCTCTGATTTGACTGAGCTTTGGGAAAACACGCCCTACTTTAAAAGTCTCACTGAATTCAAGCATCAACAGTGCATTTCCCCAGACAGGGGATTCCGTGTGATCTTGCATGAAAATTGGCTGAACTTAAAATATGAAAAAAGTTATATGCCACATAACACTGCATTCTGAAGTGCATTTATCAATCAGAAGCCACTCCAGATTCGGCGTGTTGCCTTGTAGCTGCAATGGAAATGAAACCAGCTGCAGCTTAATCCACTGGGAGGTGCCAGATGCCGCAGAATGTGCTAACCACACACACCTGGGGGAGACGGCACAAGGCTGTGCTGTGTGTTTCAACAGATCCGTTCCTGGAAAAAAAACTCACCGGCACCGAAAATGCTGTGAATTCAGCCATCTAACCCCCCTAAACCCTGTTCTCTGACAAAATAAATCTGAGAGAAGAAGTGAGGATATGTGTGGATATTTCACAGTTCAATCTAGGCTAGATACAGTTCCAAGTGAACTCTTCTAATTGCACTACTTTTTCATCCCATAGAGGCCCAAAGCTCATTACAAGTGAGGGGGACCCATTGCTTCCGCTACTGAAGTGCAGCACTGCCCGGGGGAGGCAAAACAGCTTCAGTACACGGCAGATCAGGTAGGAGGGTGACAAGCTGCTTCAGCAACTGAGGGGGAACCTCCAGTAGGCCAGACTGAGCCGGCCAGGGCAGAACTTAGCCAGGGCACCAGTGGTAATACTCCCAACGCCTACAAATGCTGCCCCTGCAATCTTACAAGACCATGTAGTCAGGGTCTCAGCTTGTAGCGTCAACTGAAGGAATGAAGAACTGCTAAGATTATGTGTCATATTCCCAGATGGCAATTAAGATCAAGAGCTCTTTCTGTCCTTTTACATACCAGAACACATGGTCTTCTTCAAGACCTGGCTAGACACTCACACACAAACCTTATTTTGGATGTATATAAGTTCTTCAGGACCTAAGCTAAAAAAGGAATAGTGCAATCCTGCAATGATTACCTATTTCCACTTATGTTTCCCTGTGGCCAGCCATTCATCTCTGATGAGGGCTGGAAGCTTGCACTGGCCTGGGGCTGCTGCATCATGGGGCTCTGGGCGTGACCCATCCTGGGTGACATCAGAGGACTCTGGGGGGTGGTAGCACCTCCAAAACCTGCATCAGGCTGCTGATTCATCCCTGAGGGTCAACACACAGCTGTTAAGCACACTGCTCTGTCTGCTGCTGGGTTATGCAGTGGTGGAACAGGAATGTGGCCCATCTTAAATATGGACAGCCACTCTGAATCAACAAGTTAGCTCCCAGCAGAAGGGAGTTTGCAAAACCTGGGATTTGATTACATAAACTATTTTTTATCAATATTTTAAACTGAAATATAAAACTATTATGTTCAGGATTACCATCAATGCCTAAGCATCCACCTTCAGTGATACTGCCACTCGTGAAAAGATGCTACATTTATAACTCAGTGACCAAACATGAGTTTTCAAGACAACAAGTCAAATAAAATGATCTAAATCTTTAACTGAAATGTTAAATAACTGTAACAAATTTAACATAGCTCATGATATTACTATAAACCAAGTTTATCCATTTTTAAAAATACAGTATAAAGGCAATCGCTGCAACATATTCACATATTCCAAGGAACCTAAACCGTGTGTCAAGGCAGAATAATAAGGAATTCCAAAAGTAGTCTTAGAATTATAAGTTTATAATAACTTTCAGGAGATCTTGATTAAGTGAATTCAAATCAATCCTTCTCTTCTTAATTGGTTACCAATGGGTAACTAAGCAGATTTCTTTCCTTAATATGTTGTTCTCATGAAAGCATAAATATGTGTTCCTGTTTTCTGTTTCAGTTCAAGTTACAATCAGTTTAAACAGCTGATTGTTATAACAAAATATTAGACAAAATAAAAATTGATAGCAGATGTAAGAAATTTGCATAACATTTTAGAGAGGCACTCTGTGTGCTGTAAAACGTACAAAAGATAACTATTACTATTACTACTTGCAGAATGAGTGGTATTGCTATCAAAATGTGGAGACAAAATCTGAAAACATCCAAACAAAGCTAGATGATTCAGGGGTACTCCCACAATGAAAACGACATTGCAGATGTCTAAGTGCCAACAATCTTAGTTCTGGGTTCACAGGTCGGCACGAGTTTCAACTGAGTGAAGTTTACGACCAAAGCATGTCCCCAAAAAGATAGAAATACACTCGTGCACACTAGTGCTGTGGCCGGGTCCGTTCTGAACTCTACTGTTAGAGAGGCTCAGATGTAGGCTAAAAAATAGGGTTAATTGCAAGCACTAAGACAGTACAAAGCATGCAAGTTAGTGTCATCACAGGGAAAGAACAGGAATGGGGAGTGATGAGGACAGACGGTTCTTTAAGGTTCCTTTAAATCAAGAGCTCCACAGTCTTGGAGAAAGCAACAGCCAATTAGTCCAGGTATAACAAACATCAGGCATGAATGACACAATACAACAATTTATACAGGCTTATCAGATCACATCCATTCAAATGTACTGTTACTTACAATACTTAGACTTCAAGTTCAAAAATGATACTTTCTAACATCTCAGTTGCAATTTTAACCCTTTTTTCTGTTGGAATGGATATTCCACAGAATATACTGCCTATTCAGCCATCGGGCACAAATGCCGCTCATTTACAGCCCTCCTGTGGTTCTAACCTTTCAACATAAAAACAAATATCTCCACTCAGAGGCTTTGGCTGTAGAAATCTAAATGATTTAAAAAAAAAATGACTCCATACGTGCAATCTGCACTGACACTTCAACAGGTATGTAACAATTTAAATCAATCCAATCATCTGCTTCTTTTCATGTCAAAAGAACATCAACGCTGCATTACAAAGCACCCTGTTAAGCCTGCACAGTGTTGTCATTCAGGAAAGTAATAAAAAGCACTTCAAGAAAGGGCAGTACCTGAGCTGGGAAACTGGAAGGCATTGTGCTGCATTTGGGGACTCATTACAGCCCCAAACTGTCCTCCAATGTTTCCCATCATTCCCTGGTTAGCCAGACTCATCTGGGAGCCATGCAAGGAGCTGTGAGAGAGGAGCTGGGACCCGGGGAGGCTGGGGGACACTGGGGAGAAGGGGCTGGTGGAAGGTGGCGGGGATGTAAGTCCAGTACCGTAGTTCGGCGGGTAGGGGAATTGCTGTGGGTTTGCCTGAGGGATCCGCGGGCTGCTCATTGTCCCCGGCAGGCCGCCAGGGGCCGCCACCGCCGCCGCCATGTTGGGCGGCAGACTGAGGCCCTGCGCCCGCATCATCATGGCTCTCTGCTGCTGCTGCTGCTGCTGCTGGCGCTGCTGCTCGAGCTGCCGCTGGCGCAGGTGGTTGCTCAGGATCTCCCTCTGCCTCTGCGCGAGCATCTGGGCGTTGATGGTTCCCTGGGGAAGCACAAGGACAATGCTGGCAATCCCCGCTCTGACCGCGCCCGCATGGGCGGAGCGGTGGCTCTGTGGCTAAGGATCTGCGCCTGTGACTGGAAGGTTGCCGGTTCAAATCCCGCGGCCGGCAGAGGAATCCTACTCCGTTGGGCCCCTGAGCAAGGCCCTTAACCCCAACTGCTCCAGGGGCGCTGTACAATGGCTGACCCTGCGCTCTGACCCCAAGCTTCTCTCTCCCTGTCTGTGTGTCTGTGTCTCCATGGAGAAAAGCTGGGGTATGCGAAAAGATGAATTCCTAATGCAAGAAATTGTATAGGGCTAATAAAGAAACATTATTATTATTATTATGGGGGGGCACGGCCCTGAGCTGACTCATTCAAGGGGAACTGCAGTCCCAATTTCTCAGAGCGGCGATTCAATCTCGGTTATGGAATAAATTCGCTGGCGGTTCAGAAAAGAAAAACGTCTCGCATTTCGGATTCAAGCACAAAATCGGGAACTTTGCGAAAGTGCTGTGAGTCGCCATGGCGTTGGGGACCCCCAGTCTCGCCACGGGCGAGAGTGAGAGCTCCCCACGAACTGTGACGCGAGGCGGCCCTTCCTGCTCACTAGTCACTGGAAGAACTAATGTAAGGTGATGCAGGAGAGCATAAGCACAGGCTGTGCAGCAGATATTTCAGCACGGACAGTTTCAAACGGGATCTGCATGCAGAGTTCACGAGTTCCATTTATCGGCAAAACAGTCTTGAAGTCGAGAGCAATATTCTATTGCATAAAAGAGATTCATCCATAAGCCTGCTTTTTAAAAATATAATAGAGTTGCTTCACGTCAAGTTTTTTGCCTCATTCCGAATTGCAGAATATGCAATGTGCTGCACACACCTGAAAACTTTGTCTATTTTGTGATATAAATTGGAGGTTTTACAAGTTACTGTGTACATTTTACTTTTATTGTGGTTTGAAATGCACTCAACAATGCTCATTCTTTCTAACCCTGAAATATAAAAATAGCCTTGCAGTCCCCATTTAATTACTCAGACCTGACAGCAGACCCCCACACAAGGCCCGGCCATGAAGTAATTACTCAGATTCGCCGTGTTCTTTACGGAGTTACACCCACTCCCCGACTTCCACAGAGGTTCCAGGAAGGGAAAGTCTTTACACACGTCGCCAGCGACCCCTTCTTACCGTGGTGTGAGGGCAGAGAGACAACTATCGTTCGTGATACTGAGAAATAAAATCCTTTTCCCCGATAAAAATAACTTCTGAAATCTGATAACTGTAATACCTCAAAACCCAAATATTGCGCGCGTATAAAAAATACACAGTAAATAACACAATCGAAGACAATGAGATGAGACAGAACAAAGGGTAAAATGGAGTCACAGTGGCTATTAATCCACAGAAGGAACTTGCTGTAGCTCCAAAAATTTTATTTTGGGACCCACAAGTTGTTCTTATGTCCAGTCAAATTGACAAGTCGAATCTGACGTAACCCCAGACAGGGGTTAATAATGTCTATTATACATTTTACACACCCTTCTGTATCCACATTTAGTGATATTTCCCTTATATCTCATTTGATACTCGCCAAGGTCCAAAATGGTGACCAGGCCAAGGAAAAGTGCAGTTTAATCATGGGATGTCTTTCGAGAAATCAGACAGTGGGGTGGCCAGAGGTCACATGAAAAGATGGGGACTGACCTGGGCTGGTACGTTAGGCCTTAGAGGTAGGTTCAAGTTGGAGACACTGCTGAGCTGGTTCATCAGGGGCTGACGGTTCTGACAACAAGATTTAAAAATGTTTGCACTGAAACAAACTCTGACAAGAGGGTTAAAAAATCTCAGCAGTGCAGTATTTTACAGACGTAATTTAAAAAGAGTGAAATGTTGAGTGTGATAAGGTAAAATTGTTGTATACTTCATGTTTCAGTCTTAACATATAAGAAAATATTTTGTTTTTTTAAAAGGAATTAAGCACAGAGGTTATTTAATGTTTTCTTCAGAACAGTGCATTATACAGCGGATAGAAAAATATACCAATATATGGACTCCAAAAAATTCAATTGTCATTAAAAATTAATGTAACTATTGTTAATCTATAGCATCTAAAACAGCAATCATACCTATTCAATCTCTACTATATTTTCTACTACTAACAGAAAGTTCTTAATTTTCACATTTTGCAAGCCAAAAAATAATCCAACAGCCTTCCATAAAATATGAAATCACAGGAGTGCTGATATTTGCAAAATTTATCTTGAAAACACTGCTATCACCCCAGAATTGCAGCCCGTCAAATCCTCCTTGTTATACCTCCCATTTCCACCAGGGGGCACTTAGAGCCACTCAGCAATTCACTCCAATGCAGCACAGAACTATCTGTCTTCAGTAAACAGGGAACCCATCACACTATTTAATTATACATCCCTCTGGGTACAAATGAGTAAAAAGACTTTGAGAATCTATTAAAAATGTCTTTTAGAACTGCCCTGAGGTGATGTTTAGAAGCCACTGCCACTCAAACGGCTAACGGCGAGAGCCCGGCCGCCGCTCACCTGCTGCGCCTGCAGTCTGTGCTGCAGCTGAAGCCTCAGCGTGTTGGGCTGGTTCGGCCCCACCCCGGGGGCACGGAGTCCGGGTCGGGCCTGGAGGCGCAGCATCGGGTACCCTGGCCTCTGGCCCATCTGACCGGCGATGGCGTGGAAGGTGGCGTCCTGCATCGGGGGGTAGCTGCCCTGCGCCATGGGGGCCGGGCCAGCGTACTGCTGATTGTAGAGAGGTGGCTTCTGGTCCAGCATCATGCTGGGGTCCTGGCTGGGGAACTGCTCGGGCTCCACTGGCTGGCCCTGCAGAGACACGGACACACAGACCCTCCGTGGGCTCCGGGACGACTCGTGCATTCATGCAACAGACTCCCCGCCTTAACGTGCAGTGAACACCATGACTGAACATGCAAGGCAACAGGCGCTGGTCTTCCGTCAACAGAAAACTGCAATCCAGACCAGGTGACCACAGAACGTGACCTCAAACACATTTTCAAAAGCGACTTGCATTTATATCCCTCATACACTGAGGTATTTTACTGAAGCGCAGTACTGTACCTTGCCCAGGGGTAAATCACAGTGAGAACCCACAGCCCTCCAGACAGGTGTCCAGAGCCCTAACTAACTACTGCTTCATCCTGGACTGGTGTGCAGTAAAGAGCTGGCAGTACTGCTCCGGGATGAGCCGGATATCCCAGAGATTTCAGCCCAAGGGGAGAAATTCACCAGCTGCCCCCAGGTCTTCAGGTGTCAGTGCCCAACCCAGCCCTCCAGGACAAGGATGGGACAGCTCCTGGTTTACAGTTTTTCAGGCTGGCTGCAACCAATTACTTTTTATCGCAAAAATTAAGAGCTAATCAAAGACTAATAACAGGTCCCGTTACAATTCACTGAATTCCTGTTTGGGGCAATATACTTTTCATACAGTGAAAAGCCATTGCAGTATAAATTAAGTTGACTCTGTCCCGCTTGGCAGTATTGGTCACAAGAGTTTAGCCTGTCACAAAAATTCAACTGTTCTGTTACTACATGCTTCTAATTCAAGAGGGAAATCATTTTGTCAAAACATTATTTGACTGATATCGGGAACACGATCAGACCTGATTCTTTTACAAATGCTGAGATTGTACACACTATATTTCAAGCCTCCCATTGTTATCTCAAGAATGTGGTACAATGTTGTATATTTAGCCTCTGTACTTTCACTGGTGGGAGATTAAGAAGGCCTGCAGCAAACTGACCTTTAAGGTGAACTACAAGAGGACCTGAGCAATTTGCAGGAATCACAGGACATTTTGCTTCTTAAGATTGGCATCCACTACAACGCCATAGAGACACAGACACAAGTGCGTCTCTGGTGTGAGTTTGACACGTACACACGAGCTCAGGCTTAAAGATTACCTGGCTGACCAAAGCAGGTATCCCCAAGGCGCGGTCAATCTCCTCCAGGCCATCGAAGTCCTTGAGCACCGAGTAGAGCTGGCTGAGCAGGGCTCCTTCATCTGCAGTGCTCTCGGGTGAGGGGGCAGCACACAGGGACTCGTCCTGGGGGCTGCTGTAGGCCGGCCTGGGGGGAACAGTACAGCGGAGCTGTGACAGGGCCACTCCATCTTGCCTCCTCCCTGTCCACCTCCTGCCCAATTCCACAGCTAACAGCTCCTGTTCTTCTTTGTAAAGAGAAGAAATTCTAAATCCACTCCAGACATCAAAATCTTCGCTTAAATCTTCTGCTAAACTAGCTCTGGGCAGTCTGATTATTTTTAGGGAACAGGTTCATTTCATTCCGTTCAGTGAAACTAATCACTTTAAAGATTTCGTTCAGGATCCACAAATTCACCCAGCGCAACTACGCTACTGAGCTGTCTGAGTCGGTACACACAGAACAGCAACACTCCACATGATACAAGCTAGCGGTGCTGAATCAGGTCTGAGTCAGTGAACGAGTCAGCACTACAGAATCACTCCAATGACATGAGGCAGTGAACCACTCCAACAGGTATCATTTAACTGAATGGTACAGAGTCAATGAATACCATATCGGGAGGAAGTTACTGAAATGAGGTTTATGCATTTCTAAAGATAAACTGCTATCTGCAGCTGATAGTCTTGGTACTCTTTGACCACTTCCACACGGACAGATAAGTAGTTTGAGAAACCCAATAATATTTTTGTGAAAATGATAGAGGAAATATCATACAGATGATGAGAGCTTAGCATATTTGCCGCATACAGCTGTCCCCTGAAGGTTAAAAGAAGCAAAACATAAATGATAAGCAAAAATATGGCCAAAGCATACTCATTGCATTAAACAGCCAGCTCTGCAATAACGCAATAGCAGAAATCCCATGATATGGAAAACCTGCATCACAGTAACCATTGATTCAGTGGGAGTTAAGGGGTTAGGAGGAAAAAAGGTCTAGAAAACACCATCACAGTAGAAATATTTCCATTGAGTCCTGTCTATTACTGTTACATCTCATTCTATAAATAAAACACTGTTTTCATTCACTAATTGAAAACAATGAAAACAGGGCATGAAGCAGGGACAGTATTTGCATCAGCCTTTGCAATAGGAAATGCAGTAAAGGGAGGAAGTGAAAATGTTTTTCATTCAGCACTTTTTTAACCTAAAGAAATATTAATGAGCTGTTATTTTACTGTGACTTGCCAGGCTGCGTGGAGGCAGCCACAAGCCTGTTCACTCTTACTCATGTGTGACTAGTTCCTACATACTCGATGGTGTTATAACCACCTCACACTTCCACTCTCAAACACAGTGGTAGTAAGAAAGGCATGGCCTTATATCGGATTCACAATGCTGTAACACGTGTTAAAGCAGAACTGATGGCAATGAAATAATCAAAGGTAGGGTGAAATAAATCATTAACTGAGAACTATTAGAAAATAGCAAAACAGTTACGTGATGGTTTTTAGATTCTTATTTCTGATCACACCAAATCAAGGTCATCAGCTAAATAATAATGGGGAAAAATAAAACGGAAAGCTAATGTCAGACACTGTTTTTCACCTACTTTAGGACATATCAGCAGTTACTATTATTAGCTGAGGACCTAATAACGTATATGTAACCCAGTGACAGGAGTTGTGTTATATCTTGTATGTGACAGCAGTGACAGGAGTTGTGTTATATCTTGTATGGCCTCATAGTTCCCTGCTACAATGTGGTGTCTTAAGGAATCATCTGGAACTCTCCCAATCTACCTTCTAATTTTTCAGAAATAAAGCTTTTAAAGAAGAGATCCCATGGGGGGGTCATTCTCAGTGCGTGGTTATTCCATCAGACCACCACCAGTTGGCATGACCTACAGGGCTCCACAGCTGACAGACAGCTTAGAGACGGGCAACTTAGAAGGACTCATAACAGTTTTCGAAACCTGGTGCTTTATAATTTATGTTAGCCTGTGCGCCCATGTAGGGAGCATATAATAACAGCTACTGCCTGTTACTGGGAATCACTGGTATATGGTTACATACAGTATACATAATTGAAACTTTAAAACAGACAAAACTATGTAGTCTTCCTGTAGTAGGTGTATCCTACTAATTACTATAAATATTATTATAATCTGATTAATTTGTGAATATGTGAAATTCAAACCAATGTAACTGTCTGAAATAACCAGCAAAATACATTCTTCATGCAAAGCCTTCAAATATACACACATCATTATTATGAGGGCAATTTTGTATTTTTGAGGAGTTTAACAATTAACAATTGCTCAATTTGCTTTGTTGCATTTGACTCAAGTTTCCAAGTTCCTCTCTTCATCCTTTAAACTCTGGGATTGGAAATTAATCATTTTCTGATGATTACAAACAGAAGGTACATAAAATTTCTCTCCTCTTATAAAGACGTGGAATAATTATTCCCTGCAAAAAACATAACCAATTCTTGAAAACAGTTATGTCAACTTAAAGGTCTCACCCTTCATGTAAAACTAGCTGGTTCTATCACATCCACTTTCAACACCTTTTCTTAACAGTTAAATTTCTTACTTTACATTATTATTGCATTTAAGTTTGCGGGAAATTCAGAGGGGTGATCAGGGACTTGCTTAAGAACAGTTAGTACAGTCATCAGAAATACCATTAGTCTCCTATTAGTGATAATATTATTGGGTAGTTACAGTAGCTGTAATTAAAATGGTAATCTGTACTATACAAAACAATCAAGAGTCGGTACCCTCAAGAAACATGGTCGAACTACGCTGCTCTACAATGATCCTGCAGTACTAACAAGCAGATCCCGTCTTGTAAAAGTAATTACTGCCCGATCGCATTTGGTGCACTCGGCTGAAAGCACAACCTTTCCTCTGTACACTCAGATATGGCGTTTCATTCTTACTCCACTTTTGGTTTCACAGGAAATGTGTTCATACAGGGGGAGGGTACTTGTAGAGGAGAAATGACACGGCCAGAGAGACTGTTCATATTTAACACACAAGAGATCGCCTGCAGGCTCAGATCGCCCTCATTCGCAGTCCGCATGGCAGGAGAGCGTTACCTGTTCTGGTTGGCGAAGGGGGCCGCCTCAATGGGCAGCATGCTGTCAGGCCACGGGGCGGTCTGATTGGGTGGCGCCTGCTGCTGGGAGAAGGCCGCTCCGGACATGACCATGTCCAGCTCAGACTGTGGTCCTTCACAGAAACACATGGGGGCACAGGGCAGTTAGGGCACAGGAAAACCCGAGCTCGCTCAGCACAGTGCACTAAGACTGCGGCCTTTTCTACAAAGAGCAAATGCACACTCAACACAGAAACGTTAATAATTTTGTTTTTCCGTTCTGAAGCGTAGGACTTCCGAAAGATTTGCATACTATAAAGCTCAAGGGTTTGCCACACTGCCTTCAAGGAATCTGCCGCTTCGGTAAACACAGTTGTTACGAGTCATGCAAGAACATGCTGAGTACTGAACTGATCAAAGATAAAATGCAACAGCTAATAATTTTTTAACACTTTTTGAAAGGCTTCCTCAGTGGTTCCCCTGAGCTCTTAGAGAGAGCGGACTTGATTTACAAGCACATTAACTAAAACCCCCAGTCATGTCAGAACTGCACGACACCAGTAAACATTCGGAATCACTCAAGTACACCTGTACAGCAGGTGGCTTCTGATAAAAAGATAACCAGCCTTTAAGGACACTGGCATTTTAAAGACCTGATCTGTAACCATGCAACAGGTTCATTCAAGTTTAGTTTCATAGGATTACATAAATACATTATCGTCCACCACCAGTGACATCTGCAGCAAGATTTTGGCACTGAAGGTGTTTTTTTAAAACGGTGTCACTCCATTATTCTGCTCTTAGTTTTTCGTCTCAGCTTAAAAGGACGGCAAAGCACAACACAGCATTCGGCGTGCTGCAGTTCCTGTCTCCGCGCTGACAGAGGATGCCCGCCGCTGTGTGGCACTCAGTCTTACCCATTATCTGCATCATCTGCCTGGGGCCGGGCTGGCTGTTCGGCCTCATGGGGACCCCAGGGGTGGTGCTCCGGACCAGGCCCCCTCCCTGCTGCAGCGGCCGGCCGAGGGAGGCGGGCATGCCCGCGCCGGCGCTGCTGACCGCCGGGCCCTGGGCTGCCCACTCCGCCGACTGCATGCTGGCTCTAGAGGGGTTGCTGCCCAGCGGCACTGCAGGCAAAGCGACAGACGTGAGAGCTGGGAGAGCCGCTCATCCTCCAGAAGCGCCGGCGCGGGCGGAACTCGCAGACGCCCGAGGGCTTCGCGCCGAGCTAGGGGCCCCGGGGCACGGCGCCGCGGGGGGCGCCTGTGTCGCCGTACGCGGGCATCCCAGCGACTACACCGCGGCAGGGGAGTGGATTCTGCTGCCTGCTGCCAAGCTGTTGACAGGGGGAGCTGCGTCTCCTACCACGGGTGCCGAGGAATGAGAGGCAGCAGCTGGTGGCAAGGGTTAACCCCCGGGCTTCCTTCCTCAGGAAATGAATCACTTCTGCTCTGCCCTACGTCAAAGCATTTATTTCCAAACAAGGCGCGGGCGCGGGCGCGCGCACGCCGGGGATGCGAGGGAGCCGTGTGAAAGAGCCGATTTTCTAATGAAGACCTGCTTCGAAAAGAAGTTCCGCTCTGTGGGAAGAGGGGGGTGTCTCAGCCCGCAGGAGCTGCTGTGTTTTTATCAGCCCGAGGTGCCGGTAAGACTGGAAGAGTCTGAAACGGGCACTCAGAGGAACAGAAAGGGAAATTACAGAGAGGAACTTTCCAACGCGCGTTTGTCACAGGTGAACCTCAACCAGGGGAAACCCCTCATTCCTCCAGTGGAGCACAAAATCGCAAAACAGCTCTTTTCCCGCTGGCACCACACGGCCAGTCTCAGGCTGCGGTGACATGTCCATTGACAGTACAGCTTCATAAATACCTTCCTCGGCACTACAGATTAATGCAGAAATCTTTTCGCTCTTTTTAAAGGCTAGTTTAAGAGTGTGCCCAGAAAAGCAAGTGTTATTTCAAATCTCTAGGCAAGAATTAAAAAAAAAATTGTTACATCTAAGTTTTCTGTTTTGGGGTGTTTCTCTACTGTACATTACTTGCCTCGCAAACACCCTTATCCAAAATAACTTACAATGTGTCAATGACATTCAGTCATAGGCAAGGAAAAACAGGAATAAAATGAATAAAATGAGTGTTAGGTCAACACAAGCTGATAATGCAGTGCAAGTGCTATGCCAGGCAAAATGAAAGAGTTAGAGCTAAAACAATTTTTGTTTATTGTTTACAGTGAACAAGAGCTAGTAGCAAATGAGACTGATAGTGTCAGCGATATAAAAACATTAGTGCACTATGGTGGAAGAGTGACTTAAAAATTGAATTTTTTTATCCCTAACAATTTTCAGTCTGTTCAGACACTTTTTGACAGCACAACAGATACTAGATATTAAAAATAACAAAATTATTACATCATTAACTCTAATAAAATCACTTTATTGGCCATATACAATTTCTTGTATTAGGAATTTGTCTGTTCGCATACCCCAACGTGCTCTCCATGAGACACACACACAGGGAGAGAAGCTTGGGGTCAGAGCGCAGGGTCAGCCAATCATACGGCGCCCTTGGAGCAGCTGGGGTTAAGGGCCTTGCTCAGGGGCCCAACGGAGTAGGATTGCTCTGCCAGTTGTGAGATACGAACAGGCAACCTTCCAGCCACCAGTGCAGATCCTTAGCCACAGAGCCACTGCACCACCCATGTCATTTCAGACGAATTTTTGTTTTGACTTTTAACAGACTTTTAGACTTTCAATTAAGCTGGTCACAACATTCTGCAGTTTGTGTTACCTTTAGGACATGAGATTTACAGAAATTACTTGTATCCTTGTCAGAGTCTCACAGAGGTGCTGTCTAGTAGGAAACAGTCACAATGCCCTGTGTTTTAAACCTTTTCCATGGTATCGTTCAGCTTTCCTGAAATATCGAAACTGACATCTCTAAATAAGCCGTGTGTTAATACAGTTACCATAACAACCGGCACAGCAAATCCTTACATTTTGTTTTTCTGCAAACTCCAGGCCCCCGGGCACCTGGTGGCACTGACCTGGGTTCACTAGGCTGCCTTGGCTGGAGACCATGCCCTGGGATGTCATGATGCCCTGCTGGGACGCCAACGAAAAGGGGCTGCTGTTCCTCATGGGGGGGAAGGGTCCCGAAGACGCGGGCGCTGGCAGGGAGGGGGGTCCCCGGCCGGGCTGGCCGCCCCTGGGGTTGTTAAAGTCTGCCGGAGGAGAGACGTGTTACCACTCTGCCGCTACTTCTTCGCCTCAAACCTATGCAGCGTGGGACACCGTCCACAGGAACCCACACCTGTCTTCCCCAGCTTCTCGGGGTCTGAAATCATCTCGGGCCCGGAGCCCAGGTGTTATTTACTACAGCTTAAGGGCCGGATACATTTTGATACATTTGATAAATAAATTTTGAACTTTAAGAACGGTTTCAACTTGGAGAAGCCCGTACTTCGCTTGTAGCTGCAATCAGTAGGTAATTGATCTTAAAATCTCCAGGGTGTCAGGTAAAATAACAGTGTTTGGTAGCCTGCTACTGTCCTGTCCTGACAACAGGACAAAAAGGGCTATGTATCTAATATTAAACACTTAAAATGTAAAACCTTTAATTGTGGTCAATATTGTATTTACGAACAGGTAAAGGCTAGTTTCATGCTGAAAAGTAGGAACAAGAAACAAAAGGTTTTGGCTGTTGAGCTTTCTTCTGCTGTGTGAGACTCCTGAACAGGCTGAAATAGTTTGTTATCCTTTCTCCTTCTCAGCATGAAATGAAGCTCTACTTGTTCCTTTGTAGCCAACGCACACTGCACAGCTCCCCACTCAAACCTTATTATATCGCACTACTGGAATCAAGGGCTTTAATTCACTTTTTAGCCTTGATGTGTTTAGTTAAAAAGGTATTCCATTAATAAAAACAACAACAACAACAACAACATGATTAATAAAACAAACAATTTGTTATTTGTAATAAGACTAACGGCGATTATTTTTCTAATCATCTGAGAGATCCAGCTTGTACATTCATTTGTTTTATAGAAATTGCCATAAACAGGAATTCAGGCTTCAACAATAAATAATGCAGCTGGGCTCTGGAGCTGGGTAAGAAGCACAAAACTGAAGCCGAGAGGAAACACAACACCCTCTGTTAAGTCCCCTTTAACACAGTCCTGGAAAGACGCCCCCTTTCCTGTTTGAGTAATTCAGTTAAAGGACGTGTGTTTGAGTGAGGTGGGGAAATGCCGGTATCACTGTGATTATTAACAAACAAAGCCGCCATGTGCACTTGTTGGCGTGTGCAGGTTCAAACTGTTGCTTGATAAGTCAGCAGTTTTCTTTCACGGCATGAGTGACTTAACCTGCATGTCTGCTTCTGAATGGGAAGATGTTTAGGTCACGCTCTCTTAAACAGTTTAAGCCTTACAGCCCTCTGAAAAACAACATACGTATGCTGCCACCAGATGACAGCTTGTTAGGAATCAATGACCTGCTGCTCTAGAATTGAAAGTTATAATAAAGAAACAGGAGATGTATGAGGCGCCCCCAGCGCCCCCTATTGGATTGTATAGATCCCTATCTACAAAAAACAAAACTGTTCTTAATATGGTGCCCTTGAAATCCTGTCTTTCAGGACCATTAGCAGGCAGGATATAAATCTCTTTACACCTGGGAAAAGAGTTCAAATGGTCAAGTGAATTACCTTGAGAGCGGCTCTCACGTTGTCAAATTTAAGGACTTCGCTCAAAGTATCTGGAAATCTAACAAGGGGAGTGAAAAATAATAGGAATAATACGAACAAGTAAAGGTTGTTTCGATGCTGAAAAGAAAAGAGACACGGTGTTTTGGCTGTGGAGCCCTCTTCAGGTATCACCTCATACCTGAAGAAGGCTCCACAGCCGAAATTTGTCTCTCCTCTTTTCAGCATGGAAAAAAACCCTTACTTGTTCTTTGCAGCCTACGCATGCTGACGCAGCTCCCTGCTTATACTCGAACAGGGTTTCTGGAGGTCTCGCACTGGCTTTCGCTTGGCACAGAAGTCGGAAAATGTCTATGTTACACTGGCCCTTTCTCATAGCCGTGAACTTACTGCCTTGAGCCATGCCGGGGAAGTGCTTCTGCTGCCCCAGGGCTGTGACGGGGCTGCCCTCCCCTGTGATCTGCAGGATGTCGTTGATGATGGCCTGCTTGTCTACGGCGGCAGGCAGGCCGCCGGGCCGCGTGTCCGAGAACAGCTGCGGCTGGCTGTTCTGCAGGTCGTCCAGGATGTCGTCCAGCTCGCTGGACTGCAAACACAGGCAACCGAAAAGACCAACGTGAGCCGGTCACACGCACTGCCAAACCGCTGGAAACCCCACGGGCAAAACAACAAAGTGGGGACAGAAGTTTGGAGGCTTATATTACAAACTTGTCTGAGAGGCAGAAGGGGAAAGGGGCTGAGGTCTCACTTTTTAGAAGGTCAGGACTTTGTTTTCACAAAGTGCTTTAATATTTAAAAAACAAATCCAAATAAGTATACTCCTGCAGCCAATTTAATAAAAAGAACTTTTAAAACATGGAAGTTCTACAATTAAATTACTTAAGAACATACTTTTCTTTTTCCATTAAAAAACAATGGAAAAAATGGAATATACTTAGATAAGGACCTCTACTGTATTTTAATTTCTTTATTAAACATTCCCCTTTGGGATGGGCTGGAAAGCCTCTATACAGTGGCAGCCTACGACCTTGACCTCTGCCTTAATTAGTTATGGTAACAGTGTCCTAATAAGAAAATACACATATTTAACCCTATGTAAGGCAATCAAAAAGGCTTCAAAAATGTACTGGCAGTGAAATACTCAAAAAATCAAGAATATGGTACAGTACTAATACAGAATGTAGTAAATCACCTGCAGTGCTAATATGGAAATGCTTATCATCTCTGAAATGGAGTCACAGAAAACTAGGCCAGCATTTCTGCAGAGAAAAGGAGCTTACTCAAAGCATTACACAGTAACAAGCACTCTGCCGCTACACGTTTTACATGGTAACAGCATGCAGTTTAATTAATCACAAATAACCTGCAAAAGGATGACCATAAAAAACACTCTGTTTTGAGAACACCACACAGGAATTGCATCCTCTATCACAGTTTTATTTGCTGCACAGTTCACTCAAATTGGATTTCATGTTTTGCACCTTTTTGTATTATAATGAATTGTAGATGCCCGATTTTGATGAAGTACTGCAAAAAAAACAGCTGGTACTAAACAATGCTGATGTACGGTACAACTAGGACACAAACACAGTAGGAACATACAAACGCCACACAGATAGAGGACCAGGAATTGAACCTAGGGCCCCAGCACTGTGAGGCAGCAATGCTCACCACTGTGCTGCCCAGTACCAATATTTAAAATAAAAAATAACCAACAGGACATTTTCCTATTCGCATATGCAAAATTATACTGTAGGAACCATTGCAGTATTACAGCATTTGTTTATTGATAAATTTGAAAGAACTGTTAACAGGGCATAGAGCAACAATGGAGATAACGAAAACTGACATGCGCATTTAATGAATTTTGAATAAATTATATGGATCCCACATTACAGTCACAAAGGAGCACAGATCCACTGACATCACATTCCCCTGCAACTCACAACAGGCAACCCACTGAAGCTCAGCAGGTGTGAGCCTGGTCCGTACCTGGATGAGAGACCTCCTGGGAAAGCTAATGGTGTTGCTGGAAGAAGTGTTATTGGGGCCAGCAGTGGCTCCTCACCCTGTGGGCTGTGTGGGTCTGCATGCCCCAGTATAGTGATGGGGACCACTGTACTGTTAAAAAGGCACCAACCTTCGAATGAGATGTAAAACCGAGGTCCTGACTCTCTGTGGTCATTAAAAATCCCAGGGAATTTCTAAAAAAGAGTAGGGGTGTCTAGTGTCCTGGCCACATTTCCCATTGGCCTTTACCAATCATGGCCTCTTAATAATCCCCGTCTCGGAACTAGCTTTATCACTCTGTTCTCCTCCCCACTGAGAGCTGGTGTGTGGTGAGCGTTCTGGCGCACTATGGCTGCCATATTATCATCCAGGTAGGGCAGCACATTGGTGGTGGTGGAGGGGAGTCCCCACTACCACTAAAGCACTTTGAGTGGAGTGTCCAGAAAAGCTCTATACAAGCGTAAGGAATTATTATTATCACTGACTTTGGTCTACAGCAGAATCACACAGTAACAAGGGATTTGCAGCACCAGATCTCAGAAGCTGAGCAAGGCAGGGACAGGGCTTGAGCCAGGTCAGTACTGGGATGGGAAACCTCTGAGGAACACCGCGTATATAATGTAAGTGGTGTCGTAAGCAGGAGGCTCTCTGGCCTCTGGACAAGACTTTCACCATGCTCATGGAGGAGAGGTGAATGTTAAACTGAGATCCATGGCACTCGATGCTTTTACAGACTCAGCCGCATATGTTATGTTACAAACAGTTACGTCTGTTACCAGTAATCAGTCAGCTGGCGTTCAGCTTGATTTGTCTAACAGCACTCCGCCGCTGGGCTTCCATATTACCATTATCACACAGGCAGAACAGGCACCCACTGAAATCCGGGTTCAAATGAGCAAGGGACAAAAGGAGACAACTGAAAAGAGAAGCCCAGGAAGGTTTACACCACCCCCTCAAGTTTCTCTCTTTCAGCAAAGATGTTTTTTGCAAGGAGTTTCAATAATGGACGCCTGAGGGAATTACTGTTCAGAGCTTTTCGTTATCTGTCTTTACTTAGCTAAAGAGTTAAAAGTAAAGAGATTGAAAACGGCAGGTGGATTCTCTACCACAGTTTGGTCATATCAGTATCGGCCTGAATGCAACACAAATGTTTTGAATTAAATGTCAATGAAGTGTGTGATTATGATAATCCACTACCACTGTCTGGCAGTTTCTACGCAAAGTGTGATTTAACCATAAAATAAAGTTTTAGTAACAGGCAGTGTTCGAAGTTCAAGAAATACTGTGTAGATGCGATGGTTGTGTATTTCCGTTGGATATTTCAGACTGAACCAAATTGTTTCCTGAGTTACTTCACACTATAATAATAGCACAATGACTATAGCTGTTAGTAGTATCCACAATTACAATATTATGTTAAATTATTTCCTGTGGAACTTGTTTGGAAGCATCATTACAGTACACTTGAGATGTTTCGACGGGAGTGCACTGTTAAAGGCTTGTGCTGTAATGAGCTGTGCAGTACCATTACTTATCCATATGTACTAAAGGAAGTGAAGTTAAACTATTTTAAGGCTAGGCATGCACTGACACTTAGAAAACATATTAGGCACTTCTGTCACAGTGAATGGTTCTCTAGCACAAAAATAAAAAAAAAATGTCAGCTACTGTAATTGGATTAACAGGAATATCCTATAATAAAAACTTCACCGTAGTGAACAAATGTGCTTTGTTTCCAAAACGCAAGAACTTTTCCAGGAGCCGCGCAAACATTATTAAAGCTTTCGCTAACAGCTTCCACAAGGCATATCTCTTCTGATCGGGGTCATGCCCCCCTTGTCTTTAATAAAATACTTGTGTAGGCACCCGGAGGTACAGTCCAGAGCTGTGCCAAACATGGAGGCATTCTACTACACAAATCACTGTTCAAACAAAACCTGAAATGACAAGCGAAGGCAACAGATCATCTCAACTTTCACAACATTTTTTTAAAAGATAATAATTCTACAAAGCCCTGCTCTTTTGTTTAAGTAGGACTTGGTCTTCTGTGTTTAGTTCGTATCACTTGACATCCCCATTGAAGTAACTAATCAGCCTACAGTACGTCTAACGGCTTTCGATTTCCACCACAGGCACTAACTGTCTGGCCCCACCAGCCTCTACAGCAGAGTTAAAGACTGATGCTGGTCACTAATCCCAAGTACACCGTTAAACATCAATACAGTGAATAATAAAAAACATTACACTACTGAAAAGGAATACTTCTCACTAGACTGGAATCTAGTGGAGACTAAATAACTGCTGATTACCGGGAGACAGACAGCTGGAAAACACAGAAAGAGCCTTTAATTTAGTAGAACAAAGTTACTTTAACCGATTTCTCTCTTAATTTAACACTTGAATGAGTATTGAATAATGACTAACAGTTATCATTCAATTTATATTAGCAATGTATTTAAATGCAAAAGCTCTACAAACCCTTTTGTCTCGATTCTTGTGAGACACTGGTGTGCTAACAAATCTTGAAATCTGCTTTATTGCTTTTTAACGCTTGGATTTACAATTCTGACAGATGCTAAAGAGGTGATTGAATGTATCTGATAAACCGTGCTCTTCAGCCAAGTTTGACATTAAAAATGGGTAAATGTTTCTCCTGGCCTTGTGCCCCCAGTTTGGGAATCACTGGTTTAGTCAATCAAACTTGAACTTCCATCTGAGTACAACAAGACCTAAAGAATACTCAGGAAGCATCTGTGTGATGGGATTCAGTCAGTGAGACCTGGGGGTCCGTGAAGGATTTTGGCAATAAGCCGCCACAGTCGTCCATGAATACTCATCCCTGCAGTGTGGACATGTGTCAGCAAATGGCTTCTGATTTTTACGTGACTACAGAGCCAGCATCACCCCACGGCCTTCAGCCATTTCTCTTTAATCATCTCACATTTCCTCTCCTTCTAATCCTGACGAGGCATGTGAAAAATACTTCAGCTGTAACACCTTTGATATTCAATATTTCTTAAATGAAAAAGAGGACAAATGTTGTTGTTTTTTCAGGCTACAACAACTGGAATGCTGTATGAAATACACTGACATTTGTACAGGTGGGAGCAGGAAGGTGTTTTGACAGTACAATATAGTTAGGAATGTAAGCAATTGCATGACAGCATTAAATACAGCGGGTCTTTATTTGTCTATTATTCTACAATAGATAAGGTTTCAAAGCTCACTCATTCTACCATTCAAAAGACATGCCAAACCTAGAAAGCTTGCCAACAATGCAGCTAAGACCCAAATACTGTGAACAGCGCCCCTTTCAAGGGTCACAGCCTCTTTCCATCTACCTTAGGTGTTCACCATTTTTCTTTACTGTATCAATGTGACAGAAGTACACAAACTCCAGGACTCTTTTTAGTACCCCGGATACAATTATATTCTTTCCAGTTCCACTGGATGTTGCCAGGATTTGCACCACAACAACCAAAAAAAAAAAAAAAAAAAGCTGGAGCATAACATAAAAGTGCAGCACAAAAAGGCAAAAGCGTTTCTAAAGCAAGGCTGGTGCTGCACGGGACGGGGGAGAATTGAGGCACGCCGTGAGGGGAGTGACTGTGAGATTGCTAAGACATACCTCCCTGCAGGGGTCACTTCTCAAAACAACTGAGACCCAGTTGAGGCTCGTCTCCTCATTTAATTACCAAGTCCTGCCGCAGATGTGGAATGAGCAAACAGAACACGCGCCAGGCATTAATATGCATCCCTGCAGCCTCGCAGTGCTGTGGCCCTGGGTTCGAATCCAGACCTGGGTTGCTATCTGCATGGTACATTCTCCCCGTGTTCATGCAGGTTTCCTTCGGGTGCTCTGGTGTCCTTCCACCATCCAAAGACAGACTGATAGGTTAAGTGGCTTATGGGAAAAGTGGCCCTGGTGTGAGTGTGTGCGTGTCTGCGCGTCTGTCCTGCCATGTGTTGGATGTTTTGCATTAGTACTAAATGAAAATGAATGTCACGGCCCTGAAAATCCACCAAGAGGTATACTAAAAGCAAAATAATATACAATTTTAAGGGACAAAAGCTGGCAGGAATCTGAACATAATATATAAGGGAATACAAATGGTTTGTTGTGAAGCATTTCAAGAATTAAGCTCCCGATAAACAGCTAACCACTCCAGCTTGCGAGTTTTATTAATTTTCTACTGGCCTTCATCATTTCTTCACATTACCAAAATAATTCAAGATTACTCTGCCCATAAATTCATACTGGATCAACTGCTTGAAAGCAGCTAGAGATCTGAAATGCCCTCATCAGAATGAACAGGGCCCAGCAGCGGAAAGGGAATATTGAGCAAAATTAAATCAGTGAATTTCAAAACCAATGTGCGATAGGGAGATTACAGGTACTTCAACAGTGAAATACAGTCCTCAAGAGGAAATTCAACTTCAGCATGTTGCAGAAGATCATGTACATTATTACTGAATCTGATCAGTAGCTCAACTGATCTGCCTTGAACTGAACTGCAACTGTCACCGGATTCATGACGCCACCAGAATGCTTCCCGGGTCTACAGAAAAATAAACCCGAAACAAGTTCAGGAATGTAGAGCAGCATTTGCTCAGCCAAGACAATTATCAATTCACTTCATCTAGACTACAGGAAAACCTGTCATTTCCCCCTTTTACGCTGTAGCACTTTTCAGTTAGATATCTGGCATGTACTGTAAATACGACATAACTCCGCCACCAGTGTGAGAAGCCCTTGATTCTGTACAAAGTCCCATAAAGAGGCCTAGCTCTGCTGTCAGAACTAGCTCAGCGAGCTGATCATTGTCTACACACATCTAGACTGCATGTATTACAGAAAGAAAAACTTGGTATTATCCAGTACAAAGAAGACGTTTTCTATCCTCAAACTCTGCAGTTGATAATTACATCTCCCACCTGAGAGGAGTTCAAGCTGGGCTGTTTTACTCCCATCCAGTACTGGTACAAAGAAGATGTTCAGAAAGGGGGGTGCAGGCTTGAACCACCGCCAGCGTGGCCCGCTGAGCTATCGGCGAAAGATTCTTTAGGGTGAGCAAAACATTTCCGAACTGCACCCATTCGTTTGATCAAAGCGGCCGGTATGGGCCAACGCATTTCCAACAACCGCTCTTCTCTTTAAAAAAAAACAAAAGCACAGAAACCAAAACAGAAAAGGCACAGCGCCGCCGTGAGATTCTCGTTTCCAAGGCTGGTTAGCGGAAAAGAGAGGCTCACCTGCTCTGATCTCTCATAGCCTGGGTCCGGCTTCTCAGTCTTCACGGTTGTGATTTTCACGCTAGTACAGGTGTCCATCTTGCCCTCCCCTGGCTCCAGCTTAATGCTTTTATCCTGTATGACGGGATCGTCCTTGTCGAGCAGATAGCGGAGCAGCGCGTTGTCCTTCTTCTTGGGGCTCAGCGGCTCCTGTTTGATGGCGGCGCCCAGCTCGGGGGCCGCGCTGCCGTTGCCCTCCTGACTCAGGTCCTTGCCCGTGGCTTCGGCGGTGAGTTTGGCCAGGTCCACCGGAGAGCTGCTGTTCTGCAGGAGTCTGTGCAAGATCTTATGCTTCTCTTTGAGTGAGGTCCCGTGTCCCGCCGCCTGGCCGCCCCCCGCGGCGCCGCCGCCCATGGAGTCCTTGTTACTGGGGTCTCCGCCGGCGGCAGCCAGCGGCGAAGAGGGCTCCATCTGCTCGGACTTGGTGGTCAGCAGCTGCAGGAGCTTGGTGTGGCCCTTGCTGTCGTGGAGCCGGCTCTGGGGGTCCGGCGTCCGGTCCCCCGCGCCGAACTGGCTCGCGCCGGTCTCGCCGCCGTCCTTCTGCTCGGGGGGGTGGCCGGCCCCCTCCTGCTGAGCCGTCTCCGGCGGGGGCTGCTCGCCGAACAGCCCGAAGGACTCCTTGAAGTCCGAGCTGCCCAGCTTGGCGAGGGGGTGGGGGTTGGCGGGGCTGGGGGAGCTCTGCGCGTTCCCCAGCTTCCGGTCGGGCGACGCCAGGGACTGGCCCAGGGTGACCCCGTGGGCTTCGCTGAGGGCGTGAAGTGCATTAAGGGAGCTGCTGGAGTAGCTATGGCTATTTCCTGTGCTGCTGTTCATCCCTGCAGGAGAGTGCAAGCTTCCTGCGGGGGAGAACTGGGTGGGGGGGACGCGGGGGCTCCCGGCCATGCCCGGGCTGACGCGGTGCCTGGGGGAGAGCATGGAGTTCTGCTGCCCGGGGGTCATGCCAGGGCTGCTCTGTGAGGGGCTGTTCATTTTGAGTGCATAGTTACTACCCTGAGGAGTGGCTGATTGCATGCCAGGCGTATGGTTCATGGCCCCCTGGCACCCAAACCTGTTACTGGACATCTGTCCCATTCCAGCGTGGTCCTGCAGGCCACCCATGGCGTTGAATTTAGTATTGCTGCTTATAGTCGTGTCCTGGCCTGGCACCCCAGTGGGCACGCCTCCCTGCGCTGGAGGAGTCATAGGGGTGGCTGGGTGGTTCACTTGTTTCCCCATGCCCTGCCCGGCCACGTCCTGATTCATCCCGCACACGGGCTGCTCCCTGGGAAACAGGAAAGAGTAAAAGATAAGGCAGAAGACCCCGTCCGTTTCACTGGAGAGATCGATGTATTGGCCACTCTGGGAAGCTCCTCAAGCCGGTAGCTGTAGTATATAAGGAAATGCCCCGAACCACAAATTCTTTTAACATGGTCCACCATAACATCTTACCTTTCCAATTAGTTTCCTATTAAGCTTTCTCCTTTAAAACAGATTTCCTTTAAAACATTAATCCAGGCGTCAGACTTAAAAGTTACAAGATTTGGGCTGTTTGTAACATTGAGGACAGAGTTTCTGACCGATTCTTTTCAAATCTGATGAACTAAATTAGTTCACATAATCTTATTTTGATCTAAAAAATCTCTCTATATTTTTCTAAACTTCGCCCTTTGATTTTGTTACACTCCTCGGATTAGGAGTAACGAATTGTGTGTTCTTGGTGAGAGTCCCTGCCGCCGCACGCAGGGAAGAAGGAGGGAATTGAAGGCAGTCTTCTTGAAACACATCACAGGCGCCACAGCGTCCTGCCACAGGTCCAGCTCTGACTGGAGGAGAGGAGAGGAGCTTCCCGCATCGACAGCGCGCCACGCCCAGACTGCTGTGGGGATCTCCCTGGCCGACAAATCCCACCCACTCCCAGTCACAATCAGCTATTGGCATGACCCAGAGTTGAACCCGTGATGACAGAGCTCAAACTGAGCTCAGCCGAGTGCCCTTTCCTGTTGAGCCAGAAGGGAAGCCTGAGCTTCCTCGTAAAACCTTCAGCTTCTTATAGTGTTCTTCTTTCCTTGTGGTTTTACTTTCTTGGCACATTCAATACACATGAAGAGATAAGGCAGTTCTAGCTTTACAGTTTAAAGCTAACTAAGGTATTCCTAATACACACAAACCCAATAAACCCAGTGTAGAAATGTCATTATATCAAAAACACATATTTGTACCTGGGGGGCATCCTTCTGAACATGTTAAACATCTTATCTTCACACCTCTGAATAGAAAAAGCCCTCAATAAGTTACTCCTAATGACATGAAAACAAGCCTGAGCACTAGCAAAGAACTGAAAGAACAAAGACCTCACTGTGCAGACTCAGGAACACGGCACAGTATAAGTAGCACTTTTAAGAATCCATTTCTAAGTCAACTGACTTGCTGGTCACTTTTAGCTACTTTGAACAAATTGCTCCTATAATAATTTCTTTGTCTGAAATTTGGGACTGCTCTGCTCTTTTCTTCCCTTGAAACAAAATAGCATTTACTGCACAATTATGAATGCATTTTATCTGTCTATATATGAGCCCCAAGGCTTTAAAAATGAGAACACCCAAACAATGTGTTTTTTTTTTTTTTTTTTTGGCACAGCGCATCTGTGCCTGTGGTGTAAACACCAGCCTCCTGCGTGGATGTCTGCATCAGGTCAAGCACCATGCACATGGCCGAGTCACCAGCGTGTGCACGTGCTCCGCTCCAGGAGTTGTCTGCTGCTACGACATACGAGCCCCGCGTCAAGGCTGCTAGTGTAAACAAGGCCGGGCCGTACCTTCCTATCCAGCGGTTTATATTTCTATGTGTACGCCTAGCAGATTCTCCCCCCGCACGCACACACACACAAAAGGGCAGCTCTGACGTCGGGGGCTCCTGGGACAGGAGAACTCACCTCTGGAGAATGTGTAGTGACATGTAGAGCTGGGGCTCGTTTGTAGCCGGAGATCTCACGAGTTTGCTCTTCGTGTGGGCGGAGACGATCGTGCCGTCCGACAGGGAGAAGCGGTAAATGGGGCTGAAAGCCTGCCCCTGCCTCAGGACTGCGGAAGATGGAAATCGCAGCGAGATGAGGAGAGCAGGGCTCACACAGGCTTTCTGAGTGCACAACATCATTTCAAAATGAACCTGAAATCGTCACTGGAGAACACTAAAGCATGACTATGTCAGTCTCTCCAAGGACAACGGAAAAATAGTCCCCTTTCGTTCCTGTATTCTACAAAAAGGACTTTGTATTACTCAACTACGTTATGCCAACAGGTGAAAGAAAATAATACTATTTTTTAAGAGGAATATTAACCTTTTACCAGCTCAATAAAGACTACCAATAGCAAACCATCCATCTGTTAACCTAATACCCTTGGAGAAACACCTTTAAGGTCTTTTTATTTCTCGATCTGCGCTGACCGTAACCAAGCCTCACCTTCCTGCTGATGTCTTTTGGCGAAGGACATTTCCCCATCATTTTGTAAATGAAACCTCTGAATGCATCTTCTCACCAAGTCCTCCCAGCCTGGCTTCATGGAGGCCCGCAACAGGCTGGTGTCCAATGACGTAATCTTGCCTGCAGTCAGAAAGGCACGAAGTCTGTCAGATGGAACGCCACGTCAAGCCGTCCACCACTCACATTACTACAGTACTTTCATCATAAGTGACAAACCCTGTTTACTTAATGCCCTGAATTCGCCTGGAGAATGCAAAGCTATCCCGCAGACACTGGCCTCTGGTAAAATAAAAGTTTGTTGTTTTCACTTTAAAAAATACAATGGAAAACCCACGCAGATCTTTACTATTTTTTTTTCCTTCAAAGAAAGCTCAATCAAAATTTAAAATAAGTTTCCTTAAAAACTAGACACACAGGAAAAATTGTCAGTCCAGCTTAACAATGAAAAAACATCAAACAATTTTCCTCTACACTGTAACATCCAAATTATTCGAGCACAAATGCCTGCAAGGTGTAGCTGGAACGTTTGTGCCAGCAGCTGTGCTCTACCTTGGCTAAACTTCACCGACACCTCAGACGGCATAATCTTCTACTAAATCAGTAGGAACAGCATTAGGGTTTTGGCTTAAATGAGATTTATCTTCAAATTTGAAATAAAATGCACAGGAAAACGCTAAATGTTTGGTGATGTGTTTTGTAAATATAAATAGGTTGCCTACAAGAAAATAAATGAGGTGATGGATATTTATAGTTTGTTAATTTCGGGACAGAATTCAATTAGACTTACTGAAGTCTTATACCGCAATTTGAGGCTTTTATGCCATAAAAAAGAAACAAAAGTTGTGACCCTGTGGCTAAGGATCTGTGCCTGTGGCTTGAAGGTTGCCGGTTTGTATCCCGCGGCCGGCAGAGGAACCCTACTCCGTTGGGCCCCTGAGCAACGCCCTTAACCGCAACTGCTCCAGGGGTGCCGTATAAATGGCTGATCCTGCGCTCTGACCCCAAGCTTCTCTCCCTGTCTGTGTGTCTCACGGAGAGCAAGTTGAGGAATGCGAAAAGACAAATTCCTAATACAAGAAACTGTATACGGCCAATAGAGTAATCGTATAAAGTGATCTTATCTTCTATACAGGAACAAAGCAGACTTCAGGTCACATGCTGATATTCCTTCATTATGATGTCAAACCTTCTGTGGCTCTGTTTGGTGCACAGACTGTACCTTGTAGGTCCTGTCTCGTAGTAAAGCTCTCATGTGTTGGAGGGATGGGCCTTTCCTTCATAGGTACTCTTCTTGCAACACAGATCAAACAGGACTGGAAATCTGCAAGGTACAGAAGAACATAAGTTAAAAATAAGAACATGCTATTCAGCCCCTCTCACTTGTTCAGACGCTTTAGGATTTTTTTTTCACAGAATTTATTAAGCTCTGGAATGTCAAGTTTAAGTTTGTTCGTTGCAGAGGTTGTGCTAACTTCTTTTCACCAGGCCAGGGGTGCCTAAACGTTTACATAAAACTGTATGTGGATCTCATGGACACAGACATCACAGCAACCACCTTCACGGCATTTTTCTTTCTTGAAGGAGCCGATTACAAGTCAGAACGCCTGCCGACAGAATGACAACCTACAATCCCGTACAGTGTCATCGCTGTTGGAAAAAACAACAACAACCTGTCTCAAACAATGTTTCTGTATCGTCTAGGGATTACAAGAAAGAAAGCCTTTGTTATTAAGACGGATGAAAAATTGCTTCGTAGGTGTGTGCTAACAAATATGAAAGGGAGGACAGTGGTATAAAGATGGATCGTGGCTTTGGAACTCTGTCTCACTGCGTCCCCCTGTCTATCACACCATTCTCAACAGGTGACCGAGTCCAAAGCCACAGAGTACAAAAAAAAAACCTTTATGCTTGACAGCCCTCTTGAACACAGAACTCATCAGAGGGTCCAGCAGTTCCTGGAGTTCCTTGCCAAGCACTTCAGTCCCCGCCCTCCTTAATTGACATCACTCACAAACGGTGTTTTGGTTCAGAGAAACGCAAACATCTGATCTTTCTCCTCGGCTGACTCAGCCTCTTTTCAGCAGCTGTGCGAGTGCCAGGCTGTGAAGCCCTGGCGGGTGTTTTGAAATTTGCTGGCTGCGTCCCCGAGAGCACCTTGCATGCTTCTTCACACTGATACCTGGCGGCCAGCCCCGAGAGGCTTCAAAGCCAGGAGCGGATTGTGGGAGAGAACCTGGCAAGACGTTCAAACGGAACTGGCCAAAAAAACAAGACACAACCCTTCCAATTACAAACTACTTTCCTTTCCCTATTGCGGCTTCCAGAGAAAAAGGGATGTAAGTGTATTTCCCTGCCTTTCGCTAACATCAGACGGAGGCTTAATGTGTTTCCAGTACTGAAAACCACCACAGAAAAGTAGTGAAGTCGAATCCCAGCCACCGAAATGAAGAAAAATCCTTGTGCAAATTGCCATAAAGTGCGGAGCTGCTTCTGTCCTCTGTTACTAAGTGTTAATCGTTAACTTAAATCATTTTCTCAAACTATTGAAAAACAGACAGCTGAACTCTTATCGATTATTTTTAAAAAGGTGTAAATAAAGAGTAAATTCTAATTTTACAAGGGACATTCACAGTCAGGACTGGTCTTGTCCTGAAGGACATATAAATAGCAAGTTAAGTACTCTTAATTTCCCATGCCTAATGAAATCCGAAATGTTTTAAAGGGTAAAATGCTGCTATGAAACAATGCCCTTTAAAAATATAAGAAGACAAGAAGTTAAAACGAGAGCCATTTTAAAATAAATGCACTGCATGCTGAACTAGTATCAAAAAGTATCGGCAATTTTCATTTGATATTTGTCCTGTGACTGCAGATGAAGTGAAATTAGAGGCAAGGAACACTACAATAAGACTAAGCAGAAGTTATCTTAACAAAACTTTTAAGGTCTGTTGGGACTTGACTAATTCTATGCTGAGAAGTAGAAAGACACAATGTTTCTGTTGTAGAGCCTTTAGACTCACAAGAGACTGCAGAATGGAGATGGACACATGCCAGAGCTTGTTTCCCAAAAAGCCAGATCTGAACAGTGGCCTACCATAAATGAGCACTTCTTACTTTACACAAAAACAAACATTCTGGACATAAATGGTGAAGCAAAAGATGACTGCCATATATTGAGCAACTGTAAAGACTTCTGTAGTGGATTTCTGACTTGGAAAAGGACAACAAATCACCATCTGGTAAGCTGAGGTCACCACATCCACTGACTTCTAAACAGGCTGCAGAGGAGCCAAGTGTTTCTAGAACACGAAGAACAACACATTTCAGCACCATCTAGTTGCTACACAACACTATTCTCCCTTGAGAATGCAAAACAACCACATGGAGAATATCTTTCATTGCAAAAATAATCCTGCATATGCCAGTCTTCCAGGTCTTTTATGGCACAGTATAAAAGGGGCTTTTGATTTGGGGTTTTACCCTTAATTCTGCATTCAAAACTGACCAAAAATGTCTACCTAGATAAGCAGAACATTGTATATGAATAAATATACATGCAGCTTCCTGTGACTCAGATGCACAAACCAAACGCAAACAGGCTGTGACAATGCAGGACAGAGAAACAGAGGGAGTATATTGTGAGCCAAAAGCCTTGAGAAGCCTCTACCCACTGTAATGTTGTCAGCTAAAGACAGTTGTTTCCTCTGCCCTGTTCTAATGAGGATGTTTCCAGGTAGACAAGGGGAACATTGATTTGCTTGCTTTCTGTGTGATGAGGCCCGCAGTTCGCGATGAGCTTTCCTCTCACAGGGTATTAAAGGGCATTTAATTTGGTCTTTTTCCTGAAGGACCTCTGAACCCGTGAAACAGAATCAAGTCTTTGCTTTGCTGTACGAGGGAAAACCAGAGGAAAAAAGAGAGGCCGAGGCAGCTGAGAAAAAGCGACGTGCTGTAGTCATTGCTAAAACACAGGAAAAGACCAATATAGTCATCAAGCTTTTGAGAGCCTGTAAGTGTAGCTAGGGCTCCAATCGTGGAGTTATCTTTTGCTTTGATTGGGCCTGGTAGTAGCTGAAAACATAAAATGTGCAGGAAGGAGACAGTCATTTGTGGGACTAGTTTCCCACCTTATGCTATAAAATGCAAGTAAGAGGCCAATGATTTGACACCCCAAACTTTCACAAGGCTTGCAGACAAGGAATCTGTAAATTCTAATATTTATTAGTTTGATTTTTTGTTATTAAGAGAAATAACACTTTCCAGTTATTTGAATTTTGAATGTGTTTAAATGCAAGAGTCAACATTTTCTTGACATAACAAAATGAAATGACTGAACTGAATGGTAGTTCACTCCTTCTGTGTTCTGAGTAACACTTAATTGTGCAGCTCCAGGTCAGAGTGGAGAAATGACTTCAAAAGATATATTATATACCTTATTTATAAATATAATTTCTTTAAAACATTTGAAAATGACATTGTTTAGCAGTATTGTATATACCAATTTACTACAAAACAAATGTAATACATGAGATTTTTAGTGATTAATGACTGAGCGAAAGGCAGACTGCAATGATTTTAATGATCAGTCAGAAGGTCGGTTTAACGTGCCATCCCAGTCAGGGCAGCCCCTTTAACAGCACAATGTCCTCGGCCAGTGGGGTTCTGATTGGGAAATTCTCATCCAGGGGGAAGAGCTCCACCTACAGGTCCACACACACACTTCCCTGGGTCAACCAGCTTCAGAGGTTTCCGATCTCAGGACCAACTTCAGAGGAATCGGCCCAGACTCTTGTGTTTTTGATTTATCTAATGAAAACAGCGCGAGTTCTAAAGGGACATCAACATTTAAACATTCAACATTTAAAAGATAGACCAGCAAAAGTGTCAAGCCCGAACCCCAAATCCGCTGCTGCCGTCCTCCACAAACGCCACTATCACAAGGGCAGAACCGTACGGCCACACTCTCACCTTCCCCTTCTTCTCTGATGGACTTTGGTTCAGACACAGCGAAGCACTGCATAGTTTCATACTTCTGGAGCGGCTCCTGGCTGCCGTGGCCTTCGTCCTCGGGTTCGCCGTGCGGGTTCACCAGCATGCGGCAGTTGAAGGTGTGGCTGTTCCTCCGGGGGGCGTCGCTGGACCAGGGCACGCCATTCACTGCGGGGACGGAGAGCAAGCACTGACCCAGGCCCGCCAGCGGGAGCGCCTCGCTGGCCTGACCGCGCGAGGGCTGCCCGCCCCGTGCAGCTGTTCTCTAACCGCTTCAGTACAACTCGGGGGGCGGCGGGGCCAGTGAGCCCACCAGGATGGTTTGTGGACTGTGGGAGGAAACTGGGGGCGGCCGGAGGAAACCCACGTGAACATGGGGAAACCACACAAGCTCCACACAGCCAGCACCCCAGGTCTGGGAGGAGCCCAGCGCCCCAGCTCTGCGAGGCAGCAATGCTAACCACTGCGCTACTGTGCCACCTGAGAGGCTGGTATTAGCTGAAAACACCAGCACTGGAAAATGCCCGTGTATATGGAACCCACATACTACGCAGACTGATTGGACTTTTTCTGCTTTAAAGAAAATACAGTAAAGCCTAATAGTATTATTTTTGGACACAGGTGCCGGCACACCTAATTAAGGATCATCAAAAGGAAGATAGTCCTCTGTGTTTTAGCTGGGCTGGGACAAAACGCAAAGCAGTTCTGACCTAAAGCACTTTTATGTTTGTAGATATGCAAGATTCTGGATTCAATTCCATACTCATCTGAAGCTGAAGACATAAAACTGACAGCCAAAATGTGTTTGACATTAGCAAACAAATACTGTAATCATCACTTTGAATATTTTGGTTTTGTTTGATTAGTTATTGAGATTTTAATGCTTTTCATGATTAGTCAGGTCAGTTTAATGTCCAATCATACCAGGGATAGCACCTATAAGCAATTTCCAATCCAAACGACCTATTCACAATGTATAAACAATATCTATTTTCTCTTCTGCAGAACTATAAAATAGTTTAATATTATTTTAATGAGTGATATTATCTAACAAGTAATGCAATAAAAAATAAAAACAATTGTAAATGAATTATCCCACTGAAAAACAATGGAACGAAGGCTTGATATTTTACTTTGTTACACAGGTTTGATACCCAAAATCTACTCAGCTATTTTTACTGCATTCTCAACTTTATTAGATTAGCAGCTCTGTAGGTACAGAATTTAGGTCACACCCTCCTACGTGACAAATAAGACCAGTTTGTGTGCATACCTTTTTCTTTTGTCATTTACAGGCTAACACAAATTAAAATCATACTACAGTCGCATGAGAGTGTAAACTGACTTACCCTTTCACAAATCCAACTCCAGTCTTTAACAAGTTTAACAGAAACAGAAAGTCTCTCATACATGTTTTAGCCATGTGCAATACCCTTTTTGTCCCCTATATTTAAGACTTTAAATTGTTAACATTAGTCTTAATTAGACAGTACACCACCTGTCATTCTTTTGGAGCGCCAAGCCAGATGGCATTTATTTGTTTAAAACGCAATCAGGGTGTTTGGCTTCTATAACTCTTAGACCAGTGGATGATCCTACTTAATTTGAATGAATTAAGAAAGATGTGATGGAACAAGAATGTTATGAGGAGCTTGAGTTTAAATACTGTGTTGAGTCTTTAATTTGTTTCACTTTTGTAACCTGGTGTTGGCTGAGTATGGCACCATTCTTCTTATTTTGTTTTAAGCATCTCTGTCTCTGTTTGCTCCTGGGTGCATGTAGAAGATAGTATTAGAATACCTTCCTGCATGCATGCACACTTCATCTATTCTCTGGCGTGCAATGAAAGTATGACAAAAAGAAGAGCAGACAATTACCACAGCCCATACGCTTATGCTGGAGGGACATATCGATGAATTGGCAAATAAAATGAGGAAGGAATGGTTCTTACCAATGGATTTGGGCAGCAGGTTTTTAATGAACTCGGCGTGATCGCCCACATGCAGGATACTGTATACACTGGTGTTCATCAGCTCCTCCTGGTTGTACCGCAGATACTGGGTCACATTCTCTGACACAAACACAATGTTGCCTTCCATGTTCACAACAAAGAAAAACCCATCTAAGGCCTGCAGATAGAGGGAAGGTGAAAAACAAGAAACACTAGTGACCAACTTGTCTTGTACAGCATGATTTTAAACTGGCTGGATTCCACATGTAGCAAAATGTGTTAAGTATTGGGACAGTGAAAAGAGATGTGTCATTTTTGCTGTGTACTAATGAAATTTGTATTTCACATCAAAAGACCTATGAGGCAAAAGAACAGAATTTCAGCTTTTGTTCCTGCGATTAGTTTAGGTCATCATGATTCTGCCATCTCAGTGATACTGCATTTCAAAACATTTCTTAATTCTCTGAGTCTGCATTGAGTTCTCTGCCCTAAAGGCTTAGCTACTTGGTCTCTGAATGTGAGATACTATTCTATGCAAACAGTACAGAGAGATAAACACAATGAAACTGATCCAATTTATTTGGAGTAGCTGAACATTAAATAAGACAGAATAGCCATAACAAAAATATACAGTATTCATATCTTGAAAAATAAAAATTATGTTGTAGCTGAAGAGTAATGTTTGCATCTTGGACCTTACCATTATGCGTTTACAATTGTGTTTTTAAATGTGAACAGTTTTGTTTTGTACAAATCGAACATTTATGAACAAATTATTTTTGTAACTGTTTAGTAATGCTTGTCCCTCTGGGAACTGCAGGGTCAAGTCCACAGTAGACAGTTTGTGCGATGCTGTGAAAGGCACTGAGAGGTTTGGTATTGAGCAGATTGTGACTTTAAGAATTCCCACATTAAAACTCATTGTTGGCTTTCAACAATATACAATATACAATATACAATATACAATATACAATGCAAGCGCTTAATGTTTATGACATGTTTTAAGCTCTTCTTCACACCGGAGTTAACAGCACACATTTTTATTGGCATGTCTGTGTCGTGGTTTGAATGGATCTCTTTGTTTCACAAGTTTCACAAAGCAGGCAGAGCATTTCTGCTGTCCAACAGCGCACAGTGAAAACACCCTGACAGTTTCAAAGAAAGCAAATCAGGCACAGCAGTGTCGAAGCGCCATGCAGGAGGTGACCAGAAACAGGGGTATTAATCTGAACGGCAACCTCATGGGTCTTAATGCTAACGCAATTTTTGTACTGTTCGTTATGGTCTGCACTGGATTTGGAACATCTGACTACCTGAAAGCCTCAGAATTAAGTGGTCATTGGACACTCTTTTAAAATGTTACATAAAAACAAATTCCATTTAAAACAGAAAAACTTAAATACAACTTCAAATGTAGTAGAATGTTTTAAACTTAAAAATGTTTCACATTTGGATATTAAAATATTAAGGGACCAGTTAGAAAAACTATTAGATACTGTCATCAGTATACATTACTTGTGTAGCTACTATGCACCTTTAATTGGACTTGAGGAAATGTAAAAAGGGAGAAAAAACAAAACGAGAATAACAGAAGAAGACTCTCATGACTGGTACAGTTATGGAACAAGTAACGAGAGCTCAACTGCATAAATAATTCTGAAAAACAATTCAAGAGACGGAATATTTTAAGTTTTAACTTAACAGAATTCTTCAAACAAGCAATGTTGACAACTTATGAATACTATTTAAGCAGAGATACAATGAAAAAAAAAAAAGGTTCTTAAACCAAAAGCAAGACATTTTGTTCAAGGATTTTGAACTGAAGTACAGTACGCACATGGATCAAGAATTGGTTAATAAACGGGAAACGGTGTGCTGTCATCTAACGTGGTATAACGTCTGCCTGGGCAGGTGCAAGCAGGGGTGTGCTGCAGAAATCTCTTTCAGATCTCTGTCTTGGTTCTTCCTGGTCTATATACTGTAATTGATTGAGATTAGCAAGGTGGATACCGTTAGCTAACCAGATGAATATCACATCGGTGAGTCTGAGCTGCAGGAAGCTGTGTGTAAAACATATCTTTTTATTTACATAGTTTATGTCCTCAACAAAACATTTTGGTGGGGCAATTGAGAAAACATTGCTTGGTTATATAGCAATAGGTGTGGTGCTTAAATCAAGACTTACAATGCACTAGTAAGACTTCATGTAGAACATTGTGTTCAGTATTAGTTACTGCACCACAAAAATACATCTTTCAAAAGAATTCAAACAAGAGCAACAGGAGTAGTTCCTCATCTCAGGGGGATCATCGTACACAGCCAGGGTAAGACTAAATTTCCTCCAATTAAAACAAAACACAGAGGAGATTTGACACAAGTATATTCCCTCCAAAACTGTACAGACTGGGGCAAAACAGAGGTGTACTCAGACTCATTAGCAAATCAAGGATGCAAAGACAACAGCCACAACTGGAATCAATGCAGGATGGAGGCCAGGAAACTTTACACAGAGAGTTGCAGATGCATAGAACCTGGTTTCCTGGGCTCCTTCAAGAAATGACAGGGAAAAATTTTAAATTAGCAACTCAACTACTGGATGCTAAACCGGATGGGCTAGGACAAACTACAGCAAATACCACCATTTTAAACAGTTAAAATAATGGTTCTATTTTACTTCTCAGCTGGTACTTGAAAATGCTGATGTTTCATGTGTAGTTTACTTTTGTTCTTGTTTCGTTACTGCAACACATTTCACACCATACTTTTAGAACAGGAAATGTATTAATTGGTCAAAACCAGTTGAGTTCCATTCCAGAAACCTTTGAGAACCTGCACAAGGGGCTGACGCTGCCTGGTGTACTGGCCATCGCTCTCAGCTCGCACTTCAGGCATGCAGAGAGAATCTGCACAAAACCTGTACAAGGATTAGAAACTCTCATCCACCAACTGTCACATCAGAATGACATAATACCATTTTCCACACCTTTTAAATCTCCAGTCAAAGAGTAAAGGTTGACATCGAAGTTGAAAGCAGCCTCAAATGCCTGAAGAGAGCGCAAATGAACATGCTACACATAAAGCTCAACCTACTGAGTCACGAAAATGCATGTTTTCTGACTTATCTATATATAGTGCATGTTTCAACAATAATGTGTTAAGAATAGTGTAGTCATCGGGTGTGGTTGTTTCAATTTGTACTTTGCACAATGCATTAGGGACATAGAAGAAAGTACAAATACAGCATTTTCATTAAACTCGGATCCCTGCTTATTTTCCTCTATCCAGCTCCCAGTTCTACCACCCTCTGCAACACAACATCATCTGCAATGATCCAATTTTATTAAAAACGCAAAACCAAAAACAAATGGTTGTTAGACTCTATTAAGTGCATGCTCCTCCACACAGATCTGTTTGTGTGACAGCAAAGCAAACTTGAACAGCTGTTCACCCTCATTCCAAATGCAGATTAGACTTCTTCGCAACTTCAGACTCCTGCCTGAGTGTGACAGACCATAGCCACAAGCATGCCAGTTGATTGTACACGACAAGGACGATATTTGTAAGTCTTAATTGAATGAATGGCCCCAAGCCAACCATTACAAGCTCTATGATGTCAATTGCTTCATCAAACAACACTATTCCTTGCAGATTATTTCAAGGACAATAACTACATGTGTTTTAAGACAGTGATTGTGCCACAATGATTCGACTTAATTAGTCATATAGCAATGAACATACAGGTGTTATTTGGAGTGGTTCTACACAGCTAATATTCAGAAAATATCTTGTACATGCAGTTTATAAATTCCACACATGGTCCAGATCTGAAAAGTCAAGCCTTCACCAGGACTCCAGAAACGTTTTCAAAGCAAGACTGATGTAAGCAGTTTTTTGGAAAGAGGCATTAGAAACTAATAACTAATAACTAAAATCTAATACTGAAGAGTAATAGAAACAGTCAAATGTTAAAATCTCTATAAACCTTACGAAAATCTCTATCCTACCTTACGAAACTGAGTACCAACACCGTCAAGGGATTACTGATAAACATAACAATAATTGTCACTTTCATTGGTCTTCAATCTTCTGAATACTCAGAATGAAAAAATGAAGAATTTTAGGGAATTCTAAACTTAATACAATCTGCTGGATTGCATACTCTCCCTTCATACTGCAAAGTTAAACTTTGTTCACTGAATCCAGCTGTCGATAAAGCAAATGCACAATGCACTGGGCCACAGCAATCCAATACTGAAATATCAAACTTTTTATCCATCCTGGGACAGCCAGTCCTCTCTTTTAATGAGACAACAGGATTGTTTTCTGAAGTCTGCAGTCCACACCAGGAAAACAACAAAAACACTCTGATGAGACATAAATTGTATTTGTCTGTCCCCTCTATATCCACACAACAACTTGTCAGATAACAGTTAATGATTGCTGGGCAAAAAGAGCAAATCAGCCTGTTTCCTTTGGCCGGTCTTTGTCACAGGCACGTCTTAATTAGTGCCTTGATTGCCTTCATACGCAGGGTATGAATTGTCCCAGCGCCTCACACTTCACAAAACACAAGACAACACGCAGCAGCCAGTATATTTAGAATCTGCTGCGTGTCAATACTGTGACGCAGGACCTCAGAAGCTATAAATACACTCTGTCCAGGCAGATTCAAAACTGAACAGGGGAAAAATGTGAACACGGTTTAGGCACTACAGAAGGGTTTTTTTGCTTCTGCTGCTTGGTATGGGAAAGGTTTTGGGATTACTTTGTCAAACAAATCCTACAAGAAAGCTTCAAACATAAAAACTGTTTTCTGCAAGAACACAGATTGGAAGTGCATCTGCATGCACTGAGCTTCAAAGGCATTTTTGCAACTGCTGATTGCCTGTAAGGCCCTCCATCAGTGGAGTACTACATTATCATTAAATTCTGTTTCCAGTGTTTTACAGAAGATATTTCATAGAGCTCTTCAAGCTGGGAGTCTGTTCTACAAAAATGTACTGTTCAGTTATGTGAAGACAGAGCTCTACCTCAGGATTGCCCACAGATCCCCTAAAACAAGAGTTTCCATCCCAGTTATTGTACCTTTTAAAATTTTAACTCTCACATAGTTTGTCTGTTCCAATCGTGCTTCCAGTGGACTTTCTGACCTGCCTCTAACATTTTCTAATTAACTTCAGCCAATTACAACAATTCATCTCACTCTGATAACAAACTTAAATTGGAGATCTTATTGAGAGTAACACTCCCCGAAAATGGGTTTTGCAGTCAGATGGAAAACTCCTTGATTACGTCAAGTATATTACAATCACTTTCGAATTTCCTTTTCATGCCATAGCTGTATTTTTATAATTGAGGTATTACAGGTCTTGTCATAGTGCTATTTGTCGGGGTGCACATTTTAACATCTGGCAAGAAAGTCCTCTGTCACCTCCCAGCCGTGAATGTGTGATCGTTGCTCTCTCTTTCACACTATGTTCAAAGAGCTCTTAGGACTTAGGACAACAGTCTGTCATTAAACACCGCCAGTTGAAGTGCCTGCAGACCCTGGAGCAAGCAAGCAGCACTGTACAAGACAGAAACAGCAGACAGAAAGTAAAGCAGACTCACCTCCAGCATCATTGGTCCAAGGGCATCTTTGTCAATAACACTTTGGCCTGTTGAGGACACATCAGCCTTCTGCACCTCTTCCTCATTGGCTGCTGCAGCCTTTTCTGCAACAGACAGAAGGTTTCAGACACGTCAGACACATGTTGTAGTACAGGACGCCGGTTCTTCGAGATTGGCATTGTGGTGCGGTAGTCTGTTTTCCACCTGCACGAGCCAGATTCAAGAAATGAACAGCTAACAAACGATCAGGTTAAAGTAAAGCAGAAGTGGCACAAAACCGGCATAAAATGGGACATATTTAATCAGTGCTAATGGTGGTTTTCACCTGAAGACTTCAGAGCTGCGAGCACAGCTAGGAGCACTCTGTAAGATCATAATTGACAAATGTTAAAGAGCCAATTTCACAGATTTCATCTTTCATAAAGAGTACAAAAATCAACAGTTGCCAGCTGTAATGAGTCATTATTGTCAAATAAAAACAGTATGTTTAGAAATTTTGCAAATCTTGTGGAAAATATGCAGTTTCTAGAAAATGAAGTATGTAGTACTGTCTACGTTTTGGCAGGCGGTAAGGTGACGGTGACTAGATTGGGTAAAAAACAAACTGCAAATCTCTACCCTTTCAAAAAGCACATACTTAACTGATTTTACTAAAGCCCCTTCTTCTTTTGTGCACTGTTACAGCATGTTGCTATGGTGTGCACCTAAGAACCTAGCAACAGCAGTGTAAAAGGTCAAAGCAAATTACTACATTTGATTTGGACAGCTGTAGTAGACTTACTGGATAAATTGAGCTGTAAGCATATCAAACTAATAATTAAGGAAACAGGCTCAGTTAGGAATCCTCTGCAAAGATGACAGCCTTTAGATTTATGAGCTGTTTAAATCAGAACTGCATTCCTTTAAAAAAGGTAGAATTTCTTGGAAGTGTAATCCCACAACATTTTCTCTGTACTCTAATTTTAGGATTTAATTTTGGGCTTTTTAATGCAGAACACATAAGTACAAAAAATATGTATTCTCCTAGAAATCTGCACCATGTCCTCTTTTCATTTCAGAATCAGCACAGAATTTGTACAAATGATCAAACAAAACGAAAGTATTACAGGAAAAACCAAGCAGGACCAACCAGCATCACCCCCTAAAATCTGCTTGGTATAGTTAAGCTGGAAGAGCTTGCAGTTCCCACCAAGATCCATTGACAATTCTGGGGCAGGGTTTCTTTTCTGAGATTTGTAGCCAGGTACTGCTGCCAGTCCACATCACCTCTGAGCTGTGTACAGTACTGCTACCAATCCACATAATCTCTGAGCTGTGTACAGTACTGCTTCAACTCCACATCATCTCTGAGCTGTGTACAGTACTGCTACCAATCCA